TACCGGAAATGGATCGGACATTAATAATGTAGAAATCGAAGAACCCAGCTATTTATTACACCAGCGTTGATCTTATTACGTGTTCCGCCCGTAGATCCCGACATGAAATTTTCATTTTAATATAACTTCCACCCTCCTGTCGTTTAGGAAACAAACGTTAATCCCTTACCTTCGTCACGATGGAAACCGTGGACTGACTTTCACGGAAGATTTCGGAAAAGAAACCGCTCATTCATGGCGGAATAAAAGGATCAGACTGTCCGAGATAAAAAGGATGAAAAGAATTATAAAATTCGAGGGAGGTTCAAATAAGAAAAGATAACAATGAAATAAAAAGAATTCCTCGTTCTCCAGAATTCGGTCAGCTGAAAAGTATAAAACGAAAGACTCGACGAGGTCTAAAGTAGCGCTGCTTAAGGGGCGAAGCAAAACACTCTCGAGTGGCAACTAGGGTGAAACAGGGACAGGAAACAGAACAAGAGAAAGAGGTTTTTTTTCAGCGAAAAACGAAGTGCAGTTTCCGTAAACTAGTCGTTACACGAGCGAAGGAGAAGCGTGGGAGTAAAACGATCAAGGATTAACGGAAACCCTCGAGGGACGAATCGAACTTCTCTTAATTTTGGCTTGCCACAAATTCGAGAAGTTTCAAAGATCACAGAGTAGAGGAAACGGCGATGAAGCCGAGTTAACGGGAACAGAACGGAACAAAGAATAAAGCGGGGCGTTACGATTGAAATACATTACGCAATTTGTTTGCTGGAACATTGAATAGAAGCGGCGTGCGTTTAACGCGAGAGAAATGGAATTATTCCTCGGGAAATGTCAGTGGAGTAACGCGACAGCGCAAAGGACGAAAGGTTTGCTCAACGAGAACTGCAGCCATCAACGCGACACTGAACTCCTGTTTCCGCTTTATCGCGAAACCAAAAGAGTCACGAGCAATCGCAACAATGCGACGAGTTCTCGAACAGGAAGCATTTCTCTAAAATAAAGTTTAGCAACTTTTTCAAGGAAATGTTCGATACGGAGGAACTCGATGGGGTTTCCTTTTAATTATCCAACAGTCGTGTAAACCCTTTTATTAACGCGAGAAGTGGCAATGTTTCGCAAGGATCTTTTATGCTCGTTAGGGCGAAAGCGGAAAGAATTTAACGAGTCTCATCGAGCGTTTCTAATGAACTTGGAACGTTTGTGTCTCTTCTCCGACATTCCTTACGGTTACTTTACAATTTTTTCCTTCGGCCCTTTGAATCCTTTACGCGCACGGCATTTCGGTCGTTAAAAACTTGATACGAGACGGTGACAGCCGAAGCGTGACTATCTCTGGTTCTAGTTCAGTAGTCAATCAACTGCGCATAGAATTAGAACAGAGAATAAAAATAAGACTGGTTTACACCTATGTAGAAAGCCGAGTGGCTGAAAATTTAGACCGGTTTCGTTTCAGGAATCGAGTGGATTCTACTGAAATAACATTGTAGATATCGGATGAAAGTTAAAGCTAAAAGGAGGAGGTTTTCGAGTGACATTTAAGGATTGGTACAATCGGAGACGAATTTCGGAAATTTTCTTCAAATTTTGAAGTCACTTAAGTAATTAAGGAGTCGTTATTAACAGAGCACGCGTCGACTTAATATTTTAATGGTCCGCTGTTTATGAAGCATTATCGGATGTCGGTTTAGCGTTCCAGGATCGTAGAAATTTCTCCGACAAGCGAACGGAAGAGGCGTCGAAAGGTGGCCGAGAAGCCTCCGAGGATGAAAGTTAGAGCGGAAGTGGAAAAGTAAAAATGGAGAGGTGACACGCAAATCTTAGCTAACACGCTTTCGTGACCTCGTGTCCAAGGAGATATTTAGGTGTCTGAGAACCCTTCAGCAGAAACCACTCCGACGAACTTACGCTAATCTCATTAGGTTCGTTAACGTTACAGTTCCTGTACTAGGTCCTTTCCCGTGTTCGCACGTGCGCAACTTTTAATTAGCCGTCGTCTACGCAACCGCGGAGTTAAACATGCACGATTCTCTCCGTCTACGTTTACGTTTTGAAACATGCTGTACGTCGTTTTTTCCCGTGGAGCGTATCATTGGATCTCGTAGCAGGTAGTCAGACTCGGTATGCAGGACAGTAGGTCGTCATCCTCGTCTCCGGTTCCTCTTCGTCTTCATTTTTTCTTTCTCTTTCGTCCTCTTCGCCTCTCTTCCTGTTCGATTTTTTTCTTCGTTTCCTCTCGCGCGATTGTATGAATAGCCACCGATCAAATCGGAACGCCCATAAAGAAGTCGCTCGATTTATAATTTCGCGACAACGTCTTTAGAAATCAAACTGCTCGACGCAGTAGCCTTTGACGACTCGATTATTCCGTAATTTCTATTTGCAATCCCGGCTACGTTCTTATCTCGAGAAACGTAATGCCTCTTATTTTGTAATTGTATTCCCCGAAGACTTTGCTTCTGGACGTTTTGCTCGTCCCCCCGTGCACGACTTCCTTTATCCGCTGTACCTTCGTTATCCTTGTCTTTCGCTGGAAAATTTCCTTTTCCTGCTGCACTCGCAGTGTCTGATTACGTTAGCCTCGTTTTCCCGACCGTTCATTATTTTCATTTCCCGAGCTCGTCGTTTCTTATGGTGCTCGGCTTCGTCATTCTTCTCCATCTCGAGACCTCGTTCTTTATTCTTCACGCTGTACCCCGTTCTCCGAACAATCCCTAGTTGAAACGACGAATTTTTTCCGAAGAAACAAACTCGATCGATTACGATTTGCCAACAGTACTTTTCTCGTCGTTTGCTGTTCTTCGAGCACGCTTTTTCCTTACATAAATCTTCGTTCTCCGATTTCGCGATACTTTACGTGACCTCTTTGGTTATCGATAATGGCCTCGTATACATCAAATTGTAAACGAGGAGTTTTAAGCTCAAGTTTTCGTGATACGCGGACACGGTGTCAAACTTGCGATTACCAAACTTGCATCGACAAAAGGAGGCTGATTTTAGGGATACGAGGAGACAGCTAAGACAGCTCGTATTACAAGACAGTCACTCTATAAACTTCTGCTCTTATTTAACCCTTTGCACTTGAAGGTAATTTACAAATAGCAACTTTAAAACTTAGTTAAAAAGTTAAATGAATTTTCGTGAGGTTATTATTTCTTTACTAATAATTTCCACTATTTTGTTTCACTATGTTCATACATCACACACGTCATGTTATAGAATCGGTTAAAAAATGCTTATTTAAAATGATTGTATTAAATATAATGATGACTGTGAGTCACCTCTCGAACGCAAAGGGTTAAGAATACGCATGTCTTGTGTTGAGAAATTCTATTATTCTGAGAGTGGATCTTTCATTTTCTTAATATCAGAAAAGTTAAAACCGGTAGAAATTCCCAGGAGCTTTTTGACATAAGAGTTAGAATAAACCGGTGAAAAGCCGAGCATGTCAGGAACGGTGACAAACGGGTGGACGTCGCCATCGCGGCTCGAGCAGAGAGCAACAATCTCCCAGATCCACGAGATTCTCGTTCCACCTCCATCGAGGTAGAGCTCGGAGGAGTCCAGGGTATCTCCTTCCGAGGGACGAGCAAGGATTTCGTTGTTCGCTGGCAGACATGACGGATCAGTCGGCTTTCACGGCCGAAAATTCGCTCTGGAATCCTCGTCGCGAGATTCTCCACCGACTGTGTGACCCTCGAAACCCTCGGTTTACGGTGTCCAGGCGTGACTTTTTCCTCGAAACGTAATTAGTGACGGAAATATCGTGGAGGACGACGAATTAATTTCGAGTTGCTACACCGTGTTTATAATTGAATTGCAGAGAACCGATTGTTCGAGCACCTCGCTAAATTTCGAGGACTGTCATAGACTGGAATAGCTGTGTTCGGTGCTCGGAGCAATAAATTATATTTGCCGTGGAATTTTCCGGTCGATAGAATCTCGGGCAGTGTGTGTTTCGCAAACGGAGCATTTATATTCTTACGGGAGAAAAATTCTGTACGGCTCTGATTTACATCCAACGTTCACGCGTCTCCCACGGACTTCCGGTCGAAGTTTCGCACGCTCTAAGACCGCGTTTCAGCGACTGCTACAGTTTTCGTGCCGTTTGCTCGAAATCCTGCTTTTACTTTAAAAGTAAGCTACGAACGAAATTGGAAACTGCAGAGAATCCATAAAGGAGTCTCCGGAGACCTCGATTAGAATTTGCAAACGGCTCGAACGAAAGTGTATTCGCTCGAGAAGACTCGATGTCGGTCGAAGAGGAAAAAAGCTCGCTCGAAGGAGGATCGCGCAAAATGATTCGTCGCGGTGGCGAGAAAGGTCTCGCTGGGAAAAGGTTTACCTAAATTGTTCCACGCGCGGTGCAGGTTTAAGAAGTGGGCCGGTCGAGCCGCGGGCTATAGGCCAGTCCGAATTTCGTACCGACAGATCATCGACCGTTAGAGGAGTGTTGACGAGAGAAAGAAACGCAGGAAGAGGGAAGGATTGTGAGAAAAGAAAGCAGAGACCGCGATGAACTGGTCTCGTCGAAATGAGTCACTCGTTCGTTCGTGAATGAAGAGTCGGTGTTTAACTTGCGCGAAAGTGGCAGCACGTGATTACGCTCCGTGTGGCTGCGGACATTAGAAAACGAATCGATAATTCTTACACGACGTTACTTCGGCTATTCTATTAACTCGTAAATGACTACCATGTGAGATTCTATCGCGAGACAGGAGCTAGGGGATTGGAACAAAAAATTAAGAAAAAGAGGGATCCCGATTCGTATTAACGAAAAGACCATCCGAGACGAATCGAGCATGGAAAACCATAAAACACCGTAAGGTCAAGATCGGAGACGAGGAGCGACGAGAAAAAAAGTTGTATCGAAAAAGTCGAGGGAAAGGTCGATCGCGAATGAATTGAATAGTTTCTCCGGAATTAAGGGTGCCCGTAGGGGTGAATCGCAAAAAACAGCTTGCAAGCTGGAAAGGGAGAAAAGGGAGATAGGACGAGTGGAAAAGGGCAAGATGAGCAGACGTACGGTGCCACCGGCTGGGTTGAACTCCTGCGAGAGGATAAGGCCTGAACGACCCAGGAATCCCATTCAGAGACTCGTATGGGGTCCAGGTTCTCAATTTCAAGTCGGTCCAATCGGCTTGCCCGAGGACGAAGGTTCGAATCCGAGAATGGCTCTGAGAAGGTACGATAACTCTGCCAGCTAAATAATAAAACGCTTGTTTGCGATACCGATAGTTTAATTATTCACGAACACGCATAATTGATCAAATTGTTTCGCGTTTACATTACCGCAAATTAATTACGCAAGTAAAAACGGAAATTACATCGCGAAATTAATCGACTCTAATGCGGCTGTAACAGGATTTCGTGTAGGAAAATAAGTCAAAATTATGCCATAAATTTACGTTTACGAATAACCTAGTGTTGGAGAACGGTACAATTACGATAATTACGATTCACAATGAAACCGCGTTCGATATCGATATTACTTTTAAATTCGAGCTTTGCTACCTCGCTGTAATGGTCCCAGTTGTTAGAACTTTCGAAAAGAAGTTTTCTTCCAAAACACTCGTTTGAAATTACACCATTCCGGAAATGTTAACATTAAATTAGCGTGCTTACGTTCAACTCTAGGCTATTTTCAAACGAATTCAGGCATTCAAGTATTAACTCTGTGCACAATTGTGTCCTTTGAACGAGTAGACTGCTAAGACTGTACGAAGGAAGACAGTACCGAGAGGCAGCCAGTTTCCTCATGAAGCTACCCCAGTATACTCTAAAGGCGACCCTGCCGGATATTCCGGTGGACCTGTTGATCGAAACTCTGCCGCACAGTTTATCCCTGTTGGAAGCTCTCTACTCGAGGCTAGTCGAGTTAAACGTGGACGACGCGAAGATTCTGCGGGTCGAGCAGGTCCTTTGGAGAATCGTGCATCTGATTTCGACCAGCCAAGACCACTTCCGTCAGAGGATCTGGGGTAAATTGTTGATGTCTCTGGGCAGATTGGCGCCCAACGCCAGGAACATGTTGACCGGCCGGAAAAGAGCTTTGGAGAGGGCGGTCGAAGGTTTGGGTAAACACGGCCTGGTGCCATCTTGCCAGGCGAACAATTTGGAGAACGGTAACGCGTCGAATTTGCTTCCTCTGCCGGTCGCGATGAAAGAGGAACTCGAGAACAGGATCGAAGCGTACAAGTTAGCCGTGCACAAGATCGAAAGTTTCGGGAAACACGCCAGGACGCACAAAGGTAACGGAGTGAACGAAGTTAATATTTAACGCGACGATATTTTAACTGTGACACGGTAATACCGCGAATTTTGCTTTTGCCGAGAGAAGGAATCAAAGAGCCAATAACGCTTTCCTTCTCGAGCGTTTAAAAATTGGTCGTTCGACTTCGGAACTGCCCCGTTGTAATAAAGTTGATCGTTATTGAGCGAGAACGGGCAGAGCTGCCAAAAGGGAACACGCGATCGTATCGGAGTAAACGAGTCCCGTTTTTATAACGGAAAAAGTATTCCGGTTGGATGAGAAAAACAACGGTGAGATTCATTAACGCGTTGAAACCGTGTATATTATTCGAATTAACAAGGATATTGACGGAAAAAAAACTCCTTCACTGACCATCGGAAATAGATTTTTTAATTCGATATTACCGACGCAATTTAATGCAGAACGCTCGTTAATTGCTTGAATAAATAAAATTCGTAACCTCGGTCATTGGAGATCCCTCGCAATCTGACGCGTTAAGGACGGTACTCGCGCGCGTATAATTTCCACTTGCCAACTAATTGGCGAATAATTGCAAACGGTTTGGAATTTATCGAGAACCGTGATTAATTTGGTTTCTGAAACGTGGAATAATTTAATGTCGCGTTACCTGCAATATGTATAATTTAATCGATTCGGTGGATCGGGAACTCGTGTGTCCCGGTTCCGCGGAACAAGTGAAATCATAGATTTATATTATCGCGACGCGTTCGCACGGCACAGGTGAAATCATAGATTTCTCGAATAAATATCGCGTCCCGAAGGAAAGTAACGGTTTGACGATTGCAGCGGATCAAGGTGTACAGGCGGCCTCGCACCAGAGGCAACTTTCGCTCAAGTACAGCGAGATTCAGCAGAGGCTGATCGATAATCAGAGTCTACTGAACACGTTGGAGAAAGCCGGTGACCCCAACGGCTTAGAAAGCTTGCTATCCGAGCTGAAACGAAGGGTCGAGCAGGACAAGGAGGCGCTCAGACAATGGACGGCCTTGAGAAAATCCACGCTCGCTGGAAACACGAAAAATCCACCGTTAGCCGCCAGACTCTTACAATTCTCCAGGGGTTGCGAGCTGGCTCTGCAGCTGATGGACCAAGATAATCTACAGGTAAATGAAACGCTCTCACCGATTCATCGATCAATTTCCGACGCTGTCCGGAAGAAATCTGAAACTCGCGCACAAAAGTATAGTTGGAAAAAAGTACGAGGTAGAAACGGTTAGCGAGTACGAGGAACGTAGCTGTTAGCGTTCCCACGGGATCGTGGCTCAGCAACGACACGGCTGATGAACGAAACTGGATTCGTAAGCGCGAACGCGGAGAGTTTGCGCTATATCCCTTAAGGACCCTCCCGTGGTCTTATATCGCGAGAGTTCGCTTGCAACTACCGTCCTTGCTAACGCGATATGTCTGTCGTACCAACTCCTATCATCGATTAAAAGTTAGCCAACCTTTTCGCTCGAAATTCCAGCAAGGAGCAACCGTGCACGGATTAGAGAAACAAATTCACTAATTGGGGTGGTACTTCGAAATACGATACATTACGATGCTCGTATACGGTGGCCGAGACTTTGTAAATCATTAATTTCCCGGAGCGCTTCGACCGTTAACGCTGCATCCGAGTTGTTCAATTAAATTTTAATACAAGAGTTACGAGCTATCATAATAATACTCGATGCGGATCTCGCGTGCGATTAATTAACGCGCAACCGCAGCTCAGCTGTTTGTTTTAAGCATTCCGTTAAGCCGTGATCGTAGCGGGGATTTTACGATCATTGACACTGCTGGCGACACTCCGGACCAGCAATTACTCGTTTCACGAGAGATTTCTCTACTTTTTTTCAATCGAATTCGCGACGGGTCGAGAGTGTCTCAAGATTCCGACGCATAAAAATATGTATTCGATCGTGAGAACGATCTTCTTCTTCGTTTCCCGCGAAAACCGCGATTCTATGGAAAAAACCGGGTCATCGATAATTGTTAATTAAAAACGGCACTCGAGTTCGTGGCGAACGCGAATTCGACGGGCTTATCCTCTAATTGTTCGGATCCTCCTGGGAACCGCTTTCGCTCCTTTCGTCGAATGGAACAATATTTGATCGGAACTTCGGACATCTCAGCGCGGACAGACGTCTTTACGAAACGCCGCTGAAAATTGCAATTCCAAAAGCACGCGAGAGTTTGAAATATTTTCGCGCAGGTATTCCAACTGGCCGAGAATCTGGCAGACGATTACGAGGAGGAATCCAGCAGCAGTGCCGGCTATCACACGGACGAGAGTTGCAGTCCGACTCCGGAACCGGTGGTCAGAAACGGCTGCGAGATTCTCAGGTTGGAGGATTTTCCGAATGCGAGCTCCGCCGATGAGGCCAGCACGAAACGACTGGTCGAAAGATACGCGGCGCTCTACGCCCAGGCGCATTTGCATACCTTGGATGCCTTGGACGCTTTGGAACCATTGAAAGACGCTCCCGACTTGAAAGCCAAGATCCTCTATTCAGTGGTCGTGGTAAGTGGCACTTTATGCAGAGTACGAATAATCACAACGCCTTGTCACCCTCTAATGCACCCTCGAGACTAGCTTTACCTCTCGACGATTAAGAGATCAGCCTTCAAAAATTCGTCCCAAATAATGCCTTACAGTATCGAGAATAAAACGAACTTGGTTTCGATACGAAGCTTTATTTCTGGAATTTACGGCCCATCTGGCGGACCATTGTCAGTCGGAGAATAATTTATCGGCGAAATAAATTAAGTTCGCAGCGTCGATAAGCCCCGTGACAATGAACCGTGTTAAATATTTGCAATTATTCTGGAGCACGCATTACGGGAAATAGAAAGCCGTAAACTCTACGATGAAACTTTATTAGTCAAAGTTGCGCCGGGAACTTTACGACTCCCTGTTGTCGCGATTCACAACGTTAATCAATTCCGTATGCAGTTACGTTTATGACGATTATTTTACGACGAGCATCACGACCGGTGATAACACTTTTTGTTGGCCGACAATAAACGCAAGATTTCGCGGTGACCTTTATTAGCAATAAATTGCCCGAATAAAACAGTTTCGAAAGTGTATTTTTTTCGCGTCTGCTTTGAACGCTTTCTCGTTCTTTTTTTTACTTGGCGCGTCTCGGGAAACTCGACACGTCTATGGCACAAAAGCACGTTTTATCGTCTAAGATCTTACCCTCCGGAGACCAGCGGGAACAGAGACTTCGAAGTTGTTGAAGAAAAATGAATCGTCGCTCGCGATACTTATCGGTCTTTTTTCGAGTACTTTCGTCAGTTTCTGGTGCGCTCGGTTTCCGATCATGAGTCTTCGCGTTAAAGAACGAGCCGAGCAGCAACCTATGAAAATATTGCGGCGCTTTGTTCGAACCGACGCTGTACGATCGCACAACCGTTCGTTACGAATCATTGTTCGTTTCTCTTTACGTCGAAAAACCACGGTATCGTTTCGTTACAAATTGACAAGCCAAAAAAGACAAAGTCATCGTCCAATTGTTTCCGCGCGCAAACTGTCGATCGACGTGCTTCGCTGTCTACGATCGAGGGTCGTTTCTTTTTTCCATCAATTTTATCTCGACGCACCGCAATGGCCACGCGTTGCTTTTTTCCCTGTCCTCGGTTTCGTTAAAATTTTCCTTTGTTATCTCGAAACCCTTATCGTCGAACGTGGCTCGTTAGACGAACGAGACACAGTTTTCGAGCGCACGCTTTTGAAACGCGTAAACGGCCGACTGTGTCAGCCGTGAAATTCATTTGCCGCGACGAAACTCTCGTAATCGAGTAACTGCACGCAAAGTTGAAACTTTGGCTCGAAAAACCTACGACGGAACTCGCGAAACTTTCAGCGGAATCAAAAAGCGTTAATTAGCCAGCCATTGAGACAGTGAATTAGACCGTTGGATTTAACAGGCTTTTTATCACCCTAGTTTCGCTATTCCGTAGCGAAATTAAATTTTACGAATAATACGAGCGCTATCGAAACAGAGCGAATTAGTGTAACGAACGAGATTTATTTGACGCTTAACGCTCTCGAATAAAAACGGTGGGTGGTCTGTAACGAAAGAGTAGAATCGTGAAGGGATCGCAAAAAGAGTTGACGAAAACGATAGCAGCTGAAGGGAATTCACAGGGGTGGAAAGGAACGCTCGAGGAAGAGGCAAGTGGAAAAGAGTCTAATGGGAAAGACACACACTAGAGCGTGCGACCGAACGCGAGTAGATACTTATCCGAGCACTTGCGCTCTTGCGATGTTCAGGCTGCGAAAGGGCTTGTAACTAGAGCTCGGCTCTCGAGATCGTATTTCGCAGCGCGATTTAAGTTATTCAACGCGTTTAACCGCGAAAAGCAAACTCGGCCCGTTCGATTTCGATCCTCTTCCCGCGAACGTATGCTATTATGCCTTCCCCGACAGCGTGCCGCGAAATAATTCCAAAGGCAAATCGCGTAGAGAGCGATTTTCACCAATTTTATAGTCAATTTTCAATATTTCATCCGGCGTAAGGAGATTAACGGAGCGGACCGAGTCGCAAGCTGAAATTTTTCAAAGCCAAATGAATACGCGCGATAAAAAATGTCGAACGAAACGAACGAACGCGATCGCTATCATTTATTTAACATCGAGTATAATGGATGAATTTGGAGTGGCGTCGAAAAGGATGCGAGCACGATACACGCGTACGTGGCCGAAGATTATTTTTGCCACCACCACCATCGCCACGCACCTGTCTCTCGTCCGATCGATCGACCATTAACGTCAAAGCCGGTCGTGAGAGGGGTGTCGAGGGTTCCGAGGGAGAGAGAGAGCAAGAGGGTGAAAGAGAGTGGCAAGGGTGCACTTTTGCGATCGAGTGTACCCGCCAAGTGGCAGAGGCGCTAGTCCGTCAGCCTAGGGCTATTACTTTGCATGCACACAGCTACCTTTCCACACAAGCGCGAATAGCCAGGAAATCGATGAACTAAAATAAATACCCACGACGAAAGCCACTCTATACGTCTCTTTGTCTGTCATCCGGTTGCGTGCGGTTCTTCGTGCTTTTTACGCCGGAACAATCAAATTTTTTCTACTGGCGCTGCCGCGCTTTGTCTTGATCATCCGGCATTTCTCTCTTTCTCCTCGCCGATTCCTCTCTTTGTCGTTTGTAAGTCTACGCGCAGAACAACCAAGTTTACACCTCGAAGAATAACGACGCGCGATCGGTTTCACGGTCGCTTTGACGAGCTGGCAAAAAGACGAGTCCGCGATCGAACGAACGAGCAGAGCGTGAAACGTGATTCTCTATACGCGCGTGAACTTTTCGACTCGTAACGGTGTCGAGCACTACGAAGAACGCGTGGCGAAACAATTGTTAGGCGAATAGATCGTTTTGCGGCATAAACTGGTTTCCAACTTAATTCTTTTTCATTGGAACGAAACGAGGTAACGAAGTATCTTTTCTCCAACGACCTCGATCCGTCACGATAATTGAGCGATATGCTCGTTAAAGGCTCCAGAAAATTGTTTTCCTGCGTTCCGCCGAAACGACGTATCGAAAAGCTTCTTTCTTCTCTCTGTTCAGAAATTTCCAAGAAACTCCTTTTATCCTACGCACGGGTCGAAATCCGCGCCAAACGATGTCGTAAAGAGCACGCGTCAAGGTGAAATCCATTTACCGTCCTGAATAAATCATAGGATTGTCAATGCTCCTCTCAAAAAAAAGAAAAAATTGGAGAAGAGAACTCTGCAAAAAGCGAAGCCCATTTAGGGCTCGTAAAGGCTCTCCCGTTGTTCAAAGAAACTCGTTAACCCAAAATCTCGAAGCACGAGAAAATCCATCCGCGAGTCTGCAACAGTCTCTGACCTCCCTTAATTAATTTTCCAATTTTTCATTAGCCCGATGATTTCTCGTGAATTCGCAGCTCTCGTGGCGATTGGCGGGCACCGTCCAGACATCCAGGTACCTGGAAGTGGTGAAGATCCTAAATGGCAGCAGCTCGGCCACCGCGCAAACGACACCCGAGCTCGAGGAATGCGTGAAGCGGCAGTTGGCGACTTCCGGTGCGCAAACCGGTTGCCGGGAGGTCGCGGAACAGGTGGTCAACCAGCTGGAAAGGACGCTGTACGACTTTCCGTGTCTACGGGGATGCATCGAGGTGAAGAAGTACGCCATTGCTTGCTCCAGTTTGGCCTGGGCTTGTTTGGCACGTGCCACACCGTTGGTCCTCGATGTGGCTCACAGCGTGGAATTTAGACGAGAAGTGCACGCGAGACATCACGCCTCACCGAATCCCAACGGTACCAGAATCAAGACAGTTTTATGGCCTGGTCTCAGAGAAGACTGCCAAGGCCCTTGCCTTTACAAAGCCGTCGTTTTGACGTTGTGATGACCGATCAATTATTCAGACGCGGTATCTTCTCGGGTGACGCCTCGAGGAACAGATAAACGATATTAGAATATATGGCTGCAACCTAGCTCGCAATAGGATACTATAGCAGTCTGTTTCAGTAATACACTTTAGTCGTATCATCCTATTTTCAGATTATTCGATCCGCATGCCCGCAAGAATTTATCTGATTATTATCATCGGACCGACTTGCCTATTCCTCCAATAATTTTTAAGCCGATTTGCAAGGTCGTTATCGCGCATAAAAATAAAATCCCCGTTAATCATCCTCGTACCAAATAACCGACAGTAAGTACATACCTCGAACGACCATTAAGGTAATAAAACTCGGTGAAATTTCATCGGCTCGTTAAATGCGGCGAGCGTAATGCACGATAGGGTTCAGCGAAGAGTGAGCAATCTTTCCCAAGAGGCGCGTAAATCGGCGAAACGTGCGAGATTCGGAGTAACGTAAGAATTATCTATGAACTCGAATGGAATGGAAGCAAAGTTCGCGTAAACGAAGTAACAGAAACCGTAACGATTGTGTATGCAGCGTACGCCATTGGCTGCTCCAATTTCCACGCGTGCCTCGTCGCAGTCTTGAATTTCCCAAGGGAAACCGGAATTACATTTACACTCGGCCTTATGTAAGGGAAACGAGACACGCTCTTTGCCGTAGAGCTACGGGTTTAACATGGAGCGGCTCAATGAGATTCTTTTAATACCTTGTAGGAAAGCTAAGCTTGTCTCGCCACGAATTCAAACTGTTTTCACAGCGCGAAGCTCTTTGACATGAAAAGCTGAACGAAGTGCGCTCCGAGGAAAATGCGAGGCTTTGCAGGTAGAAATTGTTAAATCAGAAAGCGAAACCTGTTCGGAAAATTTTGGCAGAGTCAGTTGTTTCCCTCCGTTAAGGAAGTCGTAACACAGACGACGAACTCGTGAAGGTTTATGTTCGATGCGAGGCCATGGATGGTCCAGAAATATCGGTGTTCCGGGACAATAGTGGCCAAACGATGAAACTTCCCCCGGTGTCGACGCGTCCTAATTCTCGACACGTACCTTCAAGTATTTCTCCCTTTTCTAATACCAGAATCCGGAAAGATTGTCACCCTCGTACTCGACTTCGATGGTGATGTTTTTCTTCCTTTGATAAAATGACTCCTACGAGACCGCGATCAAAACGATACGTTGAATTTTAAAGAATTTATTATAAATTTCACTTTCTATATACATAATTCTTACATCGTTTCAACTGTCTTTCTCTCTCTCTTTCGTTTAATGTAACAAATACAAAAGTACGCAAGACGTTAACGTTAACAATCGAAACGTTCAAATTTCAAGACGTGAACAAGTTTTTTGCGAATATTTTCTACGTGAAAGATGAGTCCTAGCAAACATGCCATGAGAGCTTCAAACGTACCCTGATAAAATAAACAGTGAACCGAGTAGAACGAGGCGAGGGTGGAATTTCTCGACAAATTTAACGTTTAATCCGCCTCTGTCGGGCTCTCGAGTGTATTTACATCTAACTTAACAAATACGCTTTGATTTCTCCGCACTACAATAGACGTCGGACGCGCCTAATCCGGCAATCGATCGCGGTTTCCTTCGAAACTGCGTCGTACCGTCTATCATAAAATTTGCGCGATCCTTTCACAAAACGAAAGAAGTTTCTTATAACGAGTGTTCTGAATTTTTCGGTGGACCGCGTTCAATCGCTCAGTGTCGCGGCTGTCGAATATACGAGGTATCCCGTAACGCGTCGAAACTACTTCAGAGATCAATTTGCCTTCCGACAATTCTGTCATCCGTTTACTTTTGTAGCGAGCCTGTAATTTCGTTTGCGATAAAGCTACGTTTATGCAAATAAAATTTCAATTTGAACGCTCGATTGACTTACACCTATTAAGAAACGTATTGTACGAGATGCAAAGGTAGAACTCTAGCGAAGGTGAGCAGATACGTTACACTTTGTAAAGGTAAGTAGATACCGAGATCGTCGAGAAATAAACTTACTTATACAACTCATAATCAAGGGCAAAGTATAATACATTTGTATGAATGCTTGAAGTTCTATAAAGTAGTTCATGTTACGGGACATCCTAGATACAAACTACGTCGTAACGATTTACCCTACATAAATACTGTTACGAACAGTGTGAATACCTCTTTACGTCATCGTTACCGATAAACGTATCGTCAGTCCTTAAAAGACCTACAGATATCTCCGTAGGTTCAATGATAAGAGGTAAATGCTTCAACTACCAAATGCAAACGTGTTCGCGGTAATTTTTGTATACGGTTCAACGATATACAAGAGTTATGAATAAAATATGCTTTTCTTTGTTAAATGCTTTTCGACGTAAAAGGTGCCTTTACGAGTCGCGAAACGAAAGGCGCAAAACAAATGGAAAACTTTACAATGCCTTAATGTTTGTCTAAATTTAATGAAACATAAATTTATCATCTACTGTAAAATTATGTTAAGACACTAACGTTGCTTCAAAAAACGATTTATAAATGTCAAGGTTGCGTTCCAAACACGAACGAAATAAATTATAAGATTAGAGCAATTTGTTTTTGAGCTCGATACGATCGATGCACGATTAACAGAATATCTGAAAAGTGTAATCGAACGACAGCCTAGTTTAAATTATAACGAGTGAACGAATAAAATTATCGATTAAACAAAAAAAGATTTCTATCGTCGCTACGCTTTTCGTATGATATAATTACATTTCATGGTTTGTATAAAATATACTCGATCGCTACAGGCACAGTATGTAATATTCTATGTATAGTCAAGAGTTTAAAACTTTAAACGATCAAGAGTACAATGTTCCTTTGATGAGCCTCTGCGGTGTGAAATTGCACGGTATCGTATATATCGTATAAGAATAGAAATATATTGAAAAAAGTTAGAAATGCCGTTAATACGTTGGATGCCGAGAATCCGACGAAACAGAGACTCGAATATAAACGCGTTAACGAATACGATCCGATAGTTCGAATCGACGCTTTTTACTTGTTCTTGTTCGTCCGAGTGTAGTACGACACGAATGATTTTCTTCGCGTGTAAAAATATATGCAAACTCTTTTCCTTGATGATTCGTTCTTGATGGTTCGATGATTTACATGATGCTACACCACTTCTTTGGACTCTCGTTCGATTTGGACTCTTGCTCGTTCCCAAGATTTAGTTTGCCAGTCTGAAACTTCAACTCCGAGACTGGAGTAGAGACTTGTATAGGCCTACGTAAACCTTTCAGAAGATCGATGGAGCTGTGCAGTAAACCTTGCTCCGTTTCTGTTCTCTGCTTTTTCGTGGAGTTCCAATCGTCGGTGTCGTTCTTGCGTTTTCTTTCGGTTGGACTACCGTTGCTCGAGGGGAGCATGTCGGACAAGCCGGTGCTGTAACGTAAAATCTTGAAGTCCAACGAGTCGTTCGGTGGCACGGACTCGGTGGACGTGTTCACGAACAACGAATCGTTGGGCGAGTACCTATGTTCCCGTAGCGTAACGAAACGCATTCTGTTCAGAGATCGTCTGCCAGAAAGGCTTCTCAATGTTTTTCCAAAAGACTCCTTTGGCGGTTGAATCGACGAACTGTGCTCGACGTTGCTCGCGTCGAACAACTTCGAGTTCTCCTTCAAGCAATCGTTCAGTTTAATTTGCACGTCCTTCAGCATTATCGAAGGATCGTACGAAACGAACGAAGCATCCTTGGTCGTATCTTTGTCAACCTTCTCTGGTTCTGGTTCTTTCTCCGTTTCTTTTTCCTTTTCTTGGGGCGGGATTTCGGACATCTCGGACACTTCCGACGTCGTTGATTCTAAAACGTCCACCGAATAACTTTCCGTATCGGTTTGAGATTCGCTTTGTGCATCTTCCTTGGTCAGATCGTTCTTCGATGACGAAGAACATTCTTCTTTGCTATCGTCTTTTATGTCTTTATTGTCGGACTTATCTTCTTGCATTTGTACAGAATTATCCTCGACCTCGAGACTCAATTTTATGTCACTGTCTTCGAGATCTTCGTCTTCTTTCGCTTTATCCGAAGTGTTTGCTTTGACGGATTCCGTTTGTTCTTTTTCAACGCTAGTTTCTTTATTTATTGTGTCTTCTTGTTCCTTCGTAGCGGGCTCCGGTTCCTTAGAAGGAGCACGATCAACGCACTCTTCAGTAGATACTTCATTATCTGCAGAATTGTCTTTCTTCTGGTCTTCCTTCTCTATGACTGGGTTAAGTTTTGGCTCAGCCTCCTCTGATTCTGGTTGCATGGTTTTCTCGATTTTTGATTCTTCACTTTTCTCGGGAGCAGTTATTTTCTTTTCCTTGGAAGTACTAGGCAGTTTACCTTTCTGTTTCGCAGGTTGATTCACTTCAATTTTTGTCGATAAACTCTGTAGCAGACACACAAGAGTGTAAGTAATATGTAACAAATGTATTATATAATTCATTAGTTCGCTAAATATTTGTAAAGTTCCAAAAAATATTAGACTTACTTTAAAACTTTTTCTCTGAACAGGAGGTACTCTTTTCTGGAAAGTACTCAACTTAGGTCTGAAACGAAAATGATGAAATATTTAAAATCCGTGAAAGGATACAGTGCAAATGTTTACAGCTAATTTTCATGGAGTAAGAGATACCGGAGGTGATGAGAGGTATTAATTTAAGAAAAAAAATTTGATAAAGCAGCTAAACCAAAGTTTCTCATCTAGACTTTTGTTTGCCCAATTGTTTTGCGACAACTTTTTATTTACAAAAACTCGTTATTTCGTTTTTTAAATTACTCCGCGTGTCGCGTGAAAAAAACAAGATAAATGAAAATGTTTCAAAATGCCACGGTAAAGTGAGAAACGTTCTCGATTTAGAATCAGCCGCCGAAAATATCAGTGGTTATCTTGCACCAAAATTGAATGACATTTGCCCCGTTTTATCCTCGAGTATTTGAGAGAAAAAAAGTTGTATACGATGAAAGAAAGATATCTGGTCACAACGCGACACGCGAAAGGCTAAGCGGAGATTAGTCGCGTCGGATTTACAAGGACAAGAAGAAGCCAATTGAAGGAAAATCAAAAGAAACTAACGAGCGATAGACTAAAGAGAGAAACTGTGGATAAACTTGCTCTTCGTTGGGCTGATTGATTTTACAAACCTGTTCAAAATCTCGGATTCGCGCTGTCTCTTGGGCAAGCTAGTTTCAGAAGAATTGGACGGCGCGGTCTTTGCCTTAGGTCTCCAATTGTACAAATTCCTCTCATCGCCCCCAGGGGCCGCCTTCTTTGGCGTCTTACCCATACTGTCTTTAGCTGTACGTGAACGTTCTGCCTATTAACTCGTTTAATCTTTCCACGCCCTTTTTCTTAGCCGTATTCGCCCCCACGTAAACGCAACAAGCCCCCGCCGTTCAGTTACGGACGATCGAGTTATCTATTTGTACCTTGCTTCCGTTTTTACCTACAGATATATTCGACCGTTCTCTTTCTTCTTTTTCTATGTTTCTGTTTCGTTTTCTTCAGCCAGTCACATTCCGCGTTTGATTATTAAACGACAACCGCCGGAAATGTAACCAACAATACGACGTAACACAGATTACATGGAAATCAATCGTACATGAACCGCGTTAGACGCCATACACATATAACATGCCGCTTGATTTCGAGACGTTCGATGCTCACTTCGAAATTCGTTCGAAATTAACACTCGGTAATTCGCGCAAACTTATAGGTACTTTCGAAACGACTACTTCTCTCGCGAACTTTATAATTGGATTCAGAATTTTACGTAACCGGTTCGATAAACATATTTATTCGCAGAAAAAAATATGTCAACGCCGTTCATCAGCGTAGTTACACACTTACTATGTGTGCTTTTATTCTTCCGGTAGTAGCGGTAAATTCCGTTGACAAATGTAAAGGGATACCGATGTAACGGGGCGCTGCTGTCGCTTTTACGTTGCTTATTATTACGACATTCAAAATTTATCACATAATTTTATTTGTAAAAAAGAGACATGTTCGATAAAGTCGCACAAAATTAAAGATGCAATTGAATCAAATGTAATTTTATGCGTTATATTTGTATATTCGAAGAATAGGAATAATTATCGCAATAAGTTCCTAGATGTGCAATTAAGTAGACATTTTGATGCATGCCGTTGGCTAGACTTCAATAGCTAAATTCAGAATGTCAGTAGCACTATCTAATCATGATGATTTCAGTAGAAATTTTTACAAAGTACGCGTCGTAGTCGTTTGCGTATAAAATTACAAATTTAATGTTTAACGTGATATCGTAGTACACACATGAAATATTTAAAATGAACGTAATATCGTGTTTGATATTGATTGTAAATGTTCTGCAATTAGTGACAGCAGAATGGAACACAAAAGATTATATGAAACGAGAACATTCTTTAATCAGACCGTATCAAGGTTTGTAAATTTCGAATGATTTTGCGCAAATTACTTATAATAATGTGGAATATTCTGAATTACAAATTCTTCTAGTTACACTGAATTATTGAATATTCCATTTCAAAATGAAAAATGCTTAGAAATAATGCAAATTCAAGGTCAATTTCATTTGCAATGCAAATTTTTTTTACATTTTCTTATAATTTGATGACGAATTGTAATAGAATTAAAACCTGTTATGTACATTATCTAAACATCTTTGTTTAGGATCTGCAATGGCGATACCTTATTGGGATTTTATGGGTAGTACAATGATAACAAATAACTATATAAGATTAACGCCAGATTTACAAAGTAAACAAGGTGCCATATGGAATATAATTGTAAGTTTCCAGTTTTATAGTAACCGTGTAAAATACAATGACATTTTACTTTGTGCATATTTCAATTTGATTGTAATTTGAATTTAATCAAAATATGTTTTTGTTCATTTAATTAGCCATGTTATGTGAGAAATTGGGAACTTCAAGTTCACTTTAAAGTCCATGGTAAAGGAAGGGATTTATTTGGTGATGGGTTTGTTATTTGGTATGCGAAAGAAAGAATGAAAACGGGTCCTGTATTTGGAAATCAAGATTACTTCCAAGGATTAGCTGTAATTTTAGATACTTACAGCAACCACAATGGCCCTCATAATGTATGTATTATATACATTATCATAAATACTATAATTATGCTTCAAAGTGAACATAACAAAACATAATAATGTGTTTGGTTTTTATAGCACCAACATCCATATATTTCTGCTATGGTTAATAATGGTTCATTACATTATGATCATGATCGTGATGGAACACACACACAACTTGCAGGCTGTGAAGCAAACTTTAGAAATTTAGAACATGATACTCATATTGCTGTACGATATGAAAGAGATACTTTGACTGGTAAGCATGCATAAATGTGAAATGTTTGTAAGCATGTAGAAGATGTTGTTATACAATTATGAAATATGCTGTTGTACATGGAGTTAATGTACTAAAATACTAACTATTGTTGGAGCAAGCTTTAGCTCATTTGAGCTTACTAACTGTTATTTCAAGATATATATCAAACATGTACTTAATATATGATGAGTAAACAATGTCGTTCATAGCTATGCTTTCTATGTATTATATCATTTGATGTGGTATCGTACAAATCAACGTTACAGTAAGGTCTTACCCTGAGGCCTCCTGGCTTACCTCATGGAGTGCCTCCACTTCAACAAGTGGTATTTTTTCCATCTATTCATTATTTATCATGTTTTCAGTTCCATTCTTTTTACACGCCATTAAAAAATTTTCATTTTATAACACATTTAATCATAGAGCATCATAATCTTAAAAAGAAGGTCTACCTGCTTAAGTGTTGTGTTTAATTCAATTGGTGTATGCTTCTTGCTTTATTATTATTTGAACTAAGCATGGTATAGGTCAATAAAGTATAAGTAGACATACCTAACATTATACGAGTTTTTAAATACAAAGATTTTTAACAAAATACATTTCATACAGTTTCTACAGACTTTGCAAATAAAGCTGCATGGAAAGAATGTTTCTCTGTAAAAGATATAAAATTACCTACGGGTTACTATTTCGGAGTTTCTGCGACAACGGGCGATTTATCTGATAATCACGATATATTGTCGATTCGTTTATTTGAATTAGATTTACCGGATGATGTAAGTACTCTATTATTTGGTATCTTATATTTCTTGATAATAGTTCCACTTAAATAGATATCTGTTTTTCAGCCAAAAGATCAAGAAGATAGGTCAAAAATTTTACCGTCAGCGGCATATTTTGATGCTCCCAGAGGTAATGTAACAATTGATGATTGATATTTATCTATGTTCTATTGCTTTTTGTAACAATTCTATAATGTTTTGTACAGAGCACGTAGATGATCCAAAGCAGTCCGCGTTAAGCAAAATAATGTTTTTCCTTCTAATGCTTGTGTGCGCGATTGCATTAATCGCGTGTGTTGTAATTGGAATTATGTGGTACCAAAAACATCAAGAAAATAGTAGGAAACGTTTTTACTAAGTACTGACATTCTACAAATTACTTTACTTTTAAATTTCTCGTTTATATCGGATGTTCTTTCTATAAAAGTAAGGTGTAGTTATAAAATGTTCATAAGACTGTTTCTTCGAATATTTATATAAATTGATATGGCAGACATTATCTCGATCCTTGGGAAAATGATGTCGAAGAAATATTTTCAAAGCAAAAAATACATATATCAATAGATAATATGATTATTAATAATGTATAAACTGTTGTGGTAGTTATAAGATGTATCAAATTATGCCATTTACTACTCTGGTCCTAATAATGCATAGTGCAGAGTTCCTTTACCAAAGTTTCCATGTTCTTAAATTGCAATAGATTCTATATCAATAAGTTGAATTATTTTCATGAAGAATACTAACAAATATACTCCTAATTTTTGCAATAGTTAAATTGTGAAATTGGAATAGTAACATTGAATTTTTAAATTTGTGCGCATCAGTTTACAACGAGAGACATGGTAATAATTATGATAAGAATGTACTGTAAGAGCAGAAGATAGAATGATAAATAAGTTATTTGTTCGAATCCTGAAATCTACAATATGTTAGCAAAACATCACACGTGGATTAAATACTGATTTAAAACAAATATTCTCGTTAAAAATGATATGATTTTTAATGAGAAGCTTGTTTCTCTCTTTAAGTTATATTTGTATCTGTGGATTTGATACGATAGAAAAGACTTTATTGATGTAGGTTTTATATTTGTACATAAACGAACCGAACATTACTAATGCGGAATAGTTGTAGAGTGTTTTCATACCATACAACATCTTTTTATACAAAATATAAAGGGAACCAAACTCTTGAAATAAACAATTGTTAATAAACGTAATGTTGTTATTTATGAAAATTATGTATGTCATTTGTTGCCAAATGCAAAACTAAAAAATGTATTGAATCGTGTAAAAAAATTGCCTTCAAGAAAACATAAACAATTGTAAGCAAAAACAAATATATAATTTAAAAATACATGCCCTGTTACTTTATAAGATTTTTCAACGCTACATTTTAGTGTAACAATAGTTTTACTTTTTAAAATATACATATATTTATTTGAACAGAAAACATCAAGGCACATCTATATTTGTCTTTTGTTTTTACTATAATTTTTTCTTTTTCTGTTACTATTGTCCTGATATGATGTGTAAAGTAACTGTCATTGTTACTCTAAACAAGTGTAAGACTTTTTTAATTGTTTATGTTTTTAAATGTCTAGACATTTAACATCGATTCAACGATAACCGTCACGACTCCTACACGACATACATGTATATATATGTACCTTTACTACTACTTGGAATACATATGATATTCACATAGTGTTTACATAAGTAAAGATATTTCAATGATTAAATTAGTTCTGTGACTTCATCCAATTTTTCCAGGTCTATGTAAATATTTTAAAGATACAGTATCAGGTTCTAAAGAACTAAACATTAATATTGTTAGGTACGCGCATCACATTCGTTGGTACATACACATCGCTTTTAAACGTTAATCGAACTAGTTACTTAGATGTGAATGATGTTTTTCGTTAAAACGTCATATTACAAAAACCGTGTAGTGTTTTACTATTGAGTTAAAATAAAATCGAAAAGGTTCCACCTCTTTCGACTTTTCGAAAACGTAATAGAAAAATATTAAGCGCATTTATATCTCTATTACTGGCAGTAATACTTACGAAAATATATCGATCTTAAAATATACATATATAAGTGTATTCTTTGACGTAGATACTTCACGAGTTTTTAATGAAATTCTAATGCCTGAGGTGTTGGTAACATCAAAATGTAGTTTGTTTTATAGACAGACGTATGTAAATGGAAAAGAAATAGAAATCAAATGCTTTTAAAAGCCTACCTTAATGTTTAGATAACAATTAAATTTATAAATCATATCGTACATTTCTAATAAAAATGAAATAAGTAAACACTAATAAAAATTCATTTTACAGTCAACTAAACATATGTTCTTGTTGCAGAAAATACTGATATTTCAAATCTACGAAACGAAGTTCATTCATTCTTTCTTCTTAACACACTTTGTTTTAACTTTGTCATTACAATAATTCTCTTTGTTACGAGGTCCTTTAGATGATTCCTTAAACAATTACATTTCAAAAGGGCCATGAAAACCTTGAAATGGGAATCAAGATCATTATCGAGTATCATTTCGCTCTAAATAAGTTTGTCGTAATGTTTTCAAATAACATTGCGATACAATACACTTTGCAGATTTAACAGAACGCGATTATTTAAACATCACGATAGGATTTAACAAAAAATTTAAAACAGTTTTTATACCTAGATAAAGGTCACTTAATATCGAACTAAACGTAATATGATAATTATAGCGTTTGTAAGATTTTAAGTTGATAGAATGACAAGCGAGGCAACCAATTTCTTCCAATGCAATATGAGGTTGTGACCCACCCAGCAAGGATTCTTTCTCCAGGCCGCTATTTAAAAGCGTGCCAGAAAACCATATTTTATCCCCTGGATATATACGTAAACTGAAATTGGTGAAAGAATGATCAGCTATGAGCAAAATTTCTGCATCATTTCCCCACATTCCACTTTTCATTTTCACCGAAATCTCAAATTCATATTGATTCCACGAGGAAAAGTGACATCTACTTTTTCGCTTTTGAATACTCGCGAACTGCTTACAGTTTTCCTGTCGCAATACATCATTCGAATCACACGAGTTCAAATACGACTCACCGTACATACAGCTAATTGTATTTCTAACGCTATCAGGTAGTCTATCAAATATCGCTGCAATGTTATTTTTTATAGATTTTAGTTTAATATTTGTTACGTAGCCTTCCCACGAAATAAATATTCCTTCTAAATCTGCACACTGAATTTGCACCTGAGCCTTCGACGATAATTCTTCCCATGCAGGCTGATGACAATGGTTTTGATACTGTTCCCACGAAAGCGTAGAAATAACTTCGTACGTGTCAGATTCCTGTTTGTACTCCATTATCAGTGGCCAGGATAAAAACATACCAGCACCGATACCCATAAACAACTGTAACATTCATGTGATAACAATGTGATTACAATGTTATTAATACAATTTTGAAAGCGACGTATTTACCTGGATAACAGTGATGATCCAATTGAATTTAGGAGCTCGAGTTTTCTTTACATACCATGAGGCAAGAAATGGCATTCCTCCCAACAAAGCAGTCACGACCATCCTCATTGCTAAATCGCTGTCCGATAAATATTTAGCAGCAGCAACAATCGGTAAAATAATAGACGCCAAACCAGCGAGTGGTAAAAAGAGAACCATACCGACTAAAGCGAGAGCACCTCTAATTAAGCCATACCATGTCGCACCCTGAGAACTAAATATCGCTATTTGCCACCAGCTTAAAGTAACGCAATGAGGTATTAAAGTTTGATAAGTTCCTCGCCAATTGTCCCTAGCAGCCATTTTTGCAAACACCGCTGGAATTAAAAGATAGAACACTGCACGAAAATTTAAACAAAATTCAATACCATTTCCCACAACATAAGAAGCAAATGTTGGTACTCTTATATCTAAGAATCTCCAGCCCTGTGCAACTACGATATCGGTTTCGTATGGATATTTAGCAAGAACGTGAACACCGAAACTAAAGAGAGCTAAAAGGTCTGGAACCTTTGAGGAATCTTTCCACATGAAATTCAATAACGTCACTAATGTCAACGAAACTGCTATGATGGTAAATTCTGACTGAGGTGTCCACTGATGTGCTATGACAGGATAGGTCATTAAATTTAGAAGTAAAGCAAGGAAGAAATGACCATATGGTTTAAGATTATTGCAGCAGAATTGATACTCTGCCTCTTCAGGATTCAAATTACCACCGGAGTAACTAAGAAACAAACCAGACCAAACGCGAAAATGATTAAATTCGCGTTTTCGTTGTAACATTTGAAAAGTAGCGATAACCATCACAATAAAAGATAAATAGTACAGGGCCATTGGTATAAAAAGTATAAGGCTTTCAGTGCCACACAATGAATATAGTAAAAGTAACAATAATATATGTATATTCGATGTAAAAAGAATTTTTTTAATTGACATCCCCCTCTGACCTAATGTTTCTATCAACCAAATGTAAAGACGTTTTAAAGATGCTAGAGGATGAATGAGAGGCCTTTGTAGTAATGGTATAGTGTCTAGTACCATTTGGGACGAATCTACCATACACAGAGCATGTGAAACTATTGGAAGCATACCACGAGCATAACTAGCAGCAGCAGAAACCAGAGCTGCTTCTGTGATTTTCTCTCCTCGATGATCCATCCAATCTATAAATCCAATATGTAAATGAATATTTTTATATTAAAACAAAAGAAAATATCAAATAACCTCTTACCATGGATATCATTGTCTTTTTCTTCATCTTTTTTGGGCACTGAACCTTCAGGAAGACCATTTTTGGGAAACTTATCATTTAAAGAATCATTCTCATCCTTTTGTGAGTTACTGTGTAAAATATTGTTAGAGCCAGAACAACTTGCATTAGATGAATTTGATGCTAAATCTCTCATACGTCTTTGTAGCTGCTCTGTTGTGATAAAATCCTCACCATTTGAAAGACTATGTAAGATTAAAACAACTATCAATAAGCATGTACCAACATTATTTTGTTAATTTATATAATTTAATCATTTCTACCTAGTAAACATTTCTCTTGCTGCCCTTCTTGCTAGTTTTTCATCTTGAGTCATATCAAGGCAGTTTTTTACATCATAATAATTATGTTCTGTAATGCCACGGCCAGTGGCTAAACATTTTCTAAGAATATCTGTTGCTTCCAAGTTTCCTTGCTCTGACGCTTTTGTAAGCCAATATACACCCAATTTTGCATTTTCTTCCTTATCAACATCTAAGTCTGAACATATATTATGTATGATAAATGTATATAAACATCTTACATCATAAGATGAACACCTAGATATAAATGTTATTACCACATCTTTCTTCCAAAAGCTGTTTTGCTAAAACTACTTGAGATTCTGGACAGCCATCTTCAGCCAGTTGAGACCGTAATCTTCTAAGAGAGCCCCGAGGTCCATCTAAAATAAGGTAATTCATAAATTGATTCTATTGAAATAGAAAATGTCTATTATAAATATTATTTCAAATATATATGAACTATATTTCTAATGTTCATTTATATGCAGTTTAACATTGTGCCATTCTTTTCCTTTGAAATCATATCATTAATTACTTTCTATTTAATTGTGTAAGTTATCAAGTGTTTGTTATTGTAAAGAACAAAACAATTAATTGATATCTTTCAGGATATGTAACATTCTTCTAGAAATTGTACAAAGTAATGTCAGTTGCAAAACATTCATTATTTTATTTGAATTTATATACAACAATATTAAATGCTAAAATAAATAAATACTGTAAATCTTTACAGTAAGGGTGAAGTTAAATCTATATGTTACCGTGCAGTGTCCATTGTTTTCTACCAGGTCTACCAGACAGTGGTACAATACCAGCCATTATTGCAAACAGTTGTAATAACAATTACAATGATAATTTTACTTTGCTTATTAATTTTATTACACGAATGAATTATCTCCTATTAAAAATTCCTACTCTAGCGCACATTGAACGTTATTTGACGGAACGACTGTTAAAAAAAAAATAGCATTAAAGCATGGTTTGACAATGCGCGTGCGCCACTAAGTGAAGGTTAGGTTTAAAAAACGTCAAGATACAGTAGACGTCAGATTTTCAAATTACTTATGTCCTACAACGATATCCAAAGCATGTATTGAAAGTAAAGACACTATTTATAGTACAATGAATTCATTAAATATTTTATTGCTACGTGTACGTTGTATTATTTGTTAATTGAATAAAGAAAATATGACATGGCAAATATATATTATCAATTTGCTTACTTTATACTATCCTGAGAAACCCCTTTAAGAAATTTAAAATCAAAAGTTTATGTCAGGAGAACATAATATGCGAGGAGATATTAATCGAGCCACTTGTTGATGATATCAAATTCTACAAATTTGCGAAATCGAAATTGCTGAAATTGAAAATTTGTATTGGGACAGTATGATGGAAAAAGAGGTAGCACATTCTGCCAATTACAGGAATTTGTCATAATTTTCAAGAGTTTTATGAATTATAATTTCCAAAAATATGATGGTTATTGTAAATTGAAATACGTATGTGCAAATTAAGGTTTTTATTAAATTTATCACTATGCGTTACGATTGCACTTAATATTCTTACGTAAAGATATATTTAAATGATTATAAAGTTTCTTAAGTGATATGTAGTGTTTTGCAATTCGTTAAGTGATTCATGAGATCTGCTTTATCGATAAATAGCTAATGAGCCGAGGTTAAAAAACAGTTTTTTATACAATTGTACATAAAATTAAATAGTTTATTTCTACGATTACTAAACTATCGGCAGCAATATTTGAAGTAATGGAGCCAGTTTCGATGATTTTGCGATTTTTCCGGCAAAGCTTGCAATAGTACAGCTTATTCGTTCAGCAAAACCACGTTTTTGCTGGCTCCTCGTGTAGTCAGAAATCAGCTCGAATTCCAATGCTAAAAAAATAATGATGTTACTATGATGTAAATAACACAAATACAGAGGTAGAAACATATTGTGGAATTTACAGATTAGTTGGTCCTGTGTACGGTGGCGGATTTGGCCGAATATACGGATTACAGCGTTCGCTGGATGTTCTAGAACATAATAAAATTATATTAGATTAAACATTATAAACATTAAATAAACATTAACAAAGTACCTGGGACTTCGTAACAGAGAATCACTAGGACTGGAAGGTTGAGCAGAGAGTGATTTCAGAGTTCCTCTTTCAATGGTAGCATACTGTACCATCTGTATGTTGTTATTACTAACACCTTCACCTGACGAGGTCTCTCTCTTTTCTCTGCGAACAAGAAGAATAGCCAAAGTTAAAATTTGATATATTAATCATTTACAAATTTGTAGGTGAAATCTGTGTTCTGTCGTGTCTTGATACTCGTATAGGTACACGCTTTCTGCTATGAATAGTTGTTTCTCGATAACATCCCAAACACAATAGCGAGGGAGTTAACCGCATTGACGATTAATAACTCATTAGAATTTTATTAAAGTTGCAAGGGGCTTTCGAATAAGTTGAAAACGAGATTTCGTGCAAATTAGAGTGGAGGTAATTAGTATAAAATAACGTTTCTTTGTGTCGCGTAATACCTGACTACCTGGTTTCTGGCGAGGAAAACGTTAAACAATTCGTCGAAATATTCTTCAGATTCGGGATCGTTCCTACGAAGAAAAGATTGATGAAGAATGATACGCCTCACTGATATACCTGAACGATAAGTGAAGTGTACGTTAATCGACGCCGCGAAGAACTGAACCTCTTTCTATTTATACCACCGACTAATATACACGTGTGCGTTCGCACCAAGGAAAAATCGCTTATTTATTTCTGTTTATAAACATCATTACGCTCGCTTACGCAGACTGTATTTATCGTACCAGTCGTACAAACATCCGTGTGTTACCTTCGTTATAAAGATTGCTTTTTTTAATTTCCTCGGAACATGTCATCTTCTGCGATTTTTAAATTCGATAAATACTGCCTTGCGCCGGCACTTACAAAGTGTTTAGAAATTCCTTAGAGGAATCAATTACAAAAGATTAATGATTTATTCGTTTGCGATGTGTTTAGTTATCTATCAGAAACATCCTATAACCGACTAGAACTCGATGAAAGAAATAAAAAAAGTCTTAATGAATCGTTTTTAAAACGTTCAATGTCTATGGTTCAACAGAATATAATATATCTTTTTTGTGGAGTATCGAAGGAAATTTTTTATATTCTTCGACGATAACGCTTAATAGCAAGTGACACACTGATAACGAATCATATGATTAAATTACACGTAAGATTATATTTAGCTCACGCGCGTCGGAAGTAATTTAACAATTACATGAAAATAACTTCTGTTACGTGATTATTTAATTACTACTCGAAACATAATAATTTAGTTCACGTAATATAGCTTATTCTTGTAATACAACATACAAAAGACTTTCATTTTTCTTTCAACGATTCCTATCAGACTACACACTTGCACATTTCAGCGACATTCAAGCGTGTAGAATGCATTACTTGGAAATTAGCGGAGCGCACATACGCTTATCGTGAACGTATACGATTCTTTCGTAATCATATTTTTGATCGTACTGTACGTTGCGTCGCCGCTTGACCAGATATCGTAGCTGTTTTATGAATGAAACCAACTCGTAGTAGTAGCCCCCTCTATCTACTCTTAGCGCCCCTACCACTTGGCCTCGGTTTGCTTGCACAGCTATGCCGTTGGAATTCGTTTCTCGAGCACGTGGTTCGTGTAGAATGACAAATATTTCGCTACAACCTTTCTCTAATTCACATTTCATCGAAAGATCTGATCTTGAAGCTAGACTGTACTCCGCGAGAGTCGCGAGGTCATCGTGGAATTACGCTGCAAAGCGACGACGTGGTTCTTTTAGACGATTCGTGAACAGAACTTGTCAAAAGGGTTGTACAGGAAAAGAATCCGAAGTTCTAAGCCGTACCACTTACATTTTCTCGTGATTGAGGCACAACACCGTGCTGAGCAACGCAGCCAACACGAGAAGCAGTATGGTAGGCACAAAGATCGTGGTGACGATTTCGTTGAAGTAGCTTCTCGTGGGAACGCTGGCTTTCGTCGATCTGGCCCACCGCCACTCCGTGTGTTCAGAAATTCCCGAGGCCGGTAAACCTACCACATTCATACTTGGTCCTCGCCTCGCGCTCTCGCTTTGTACGCTTTGTTGTTCTTGTTCAACCTGCGAAAGATAACCGCCAAGTCCCGTGACAATACATTTGTCAAATCGAACATTGATAAGATCCGTAAACGAAATTTACCAATCTAAAGGAACACCAGTCCAAGGCAAATCCAGCCTCCCTGAATAATCTTTCCACGCTGGTTCGTTTAAAGTCCCGAGGACAGGACGGTAATTTCCACAGAGGTTTCACCTCCTCTTGCAGTTCGTTCAATTCTTGCGAGAATGGCATCGAACTGCCCAGTCTTATAACGACCCTGTACAAAAATAAAACATACAATGTAGCATACATCTTTCTTTCAAAGTCGCAAAAGTTTGGGTGTCACTGAGATGTCTAAGTGCTTAATTGTAATATAGCGTTTATACCCAATTAATATCCTGGAGGGAGATGCTATCTACGCCAGCGGTGACGTCTGACTTCTGATTGATTTACCACTAAAATTCAGGCTATGCTGTAGCAAATAGTTACGTAGGCGTCAAGTGACGCCAAATGATTTGAGATGTCATTATACTGACTGATAAGGGAGAGGCGCCAAAGGATTTGGAAATAACAGTACCTGTAAATCGAGGAAATTGTGTCAAATGGAAAGGTGGCGCCTTTTGATAAGAGTGCTTATCTTAAAACCAGCGTACGCAACTAATTAAAGCCTGGGCTACATCAGTTTGCCGAAAGCGACTGACAGAGTAAAGTAGAATTATACCGCTCGTCTTCGTTATTATAAACTAATGCTGTGCGGACGGAAATAATGTAACTGGTAAAAAGCGTAAAAGTCATTGGCAAGTGGTAACGGGATATCCAGCGGTTCTCGATAAAGAGCAGAGGAAAGCCGCTATCAATCGTTTAACAGGAAGTTGGTATAGTGGCGTGTAGTAGGTAAAACGGAGTTTAAATCTACGCCGCGTTTTCTACGAGTTTTCTTTCTCCGCAGACATACGTTGACTCGACCCGAGCGTACGTGAACCACAACACGTCCTACCCGAGCTTCTGGAACTGCGTCATCGTTTTCCTACTCGTGCATTATTTCCCGTTATCTCGACCGAAAGTTGGGGAGAGTCCCGCGCGTAGTAGACGTGATTTCCATTGACCGCGATCGGATCAAGTCTCTGGGCATCATGGTGCGTTTTTCACGGTAATTAGCGCTTGACGTATTCATCGGGCTAACCGTCAACGCTTCGATGATGCTAAACGCGTTTGGAATATCAGCGATCATTTGGAATATAATCGTTGCTCGTGACTGGTTCTCTCGAGATTAGCATCTTTGGTCGTCGGTTAGCGCGTTTGTCAAAGCGCAGGCGCTTTTCGTTACCTGTTGAAAGGCTATTGTAAAGGGCATGCAGTTTATACCTGAAGTGGCCTTTACTTCGGGGACGACCGGTATCATCTTTCCAATCATTTTCCTAGCCAGTAAACTAATCGTTTCTCCGGTAAAATTGTTCCGTGACGAACACGGCTATTTACGTTAACATTCGTGACGACGAGAGCATGATCCGCGTGCACTATCAATGATGCACCGAGACCAAAAGTCAGAGTATACTTCTCGGTAATTAGAGAGTAAGATAATAGTAATTTATTGATTCATTCTACAATAACGTGAAATTAACGTGAAATCATTGATGCGTCAGCACGCGAAAGATGCAATGAACCGGTAAAGGTTCGAGACTCTTGGATAATCGCTCGTTCTGCGTTTCCTTGAAAACTACGACACGCAGGCATTCACCGGGAACAACTTTTATTTCGATTAACATAAATCTTGTTCGTTCATCGAACGACTACAAATGAAAAAACTTTCACCGAAGTGCACGATGACGCGTAAATGCGGGTGACGTTCAAAGACCGAGAGCAGACCGTCACGAGATATATACATAGACGAACCAACGAGCAACGACAGTGTCCAAGCCGGAAGTCATTCAGTCGTTTACAACGCGTACGAGTGCGCTGACAATGTCGCACTTACGTTAGCAGCCCATTTATACGTGTGTGAAGCTTATACAACAACATTAAGCTCGCGCGACTGATCTGCATCGCGCTCTCGCCTTTTTCCACGTTCGAAGGAAACCACGAACAGTCTTGCATTAGCTTGCGTAAATAGCAGGATCGAGGGAAAAGGATCCGTTCGCTATTGACCGTCGCTACGAAAGGATCGACAGAGGCGCGTCTCGACAGACTTCTTTTGCCAGCCGATTTTTTACAAGTGTCCAGTGTTTCATAATGTGTCGCGTGAAAATTTATCGTTCTACCATCGGCTCGGAAACGGTGCTACGTACGTGAACGTTGTTCCGGGGGAAATACTTCGAAATGACTGTTCAACCACAATCGTGACGAACATGGGGCGATACGAAACGAACGAATCGTTTGACAAGAAATAAATGTTTGTTTTACGTCTGCTACGACGCGAGTAATGACACCGTTATTCATCCGTGAACCGTGAACGAGCGATAGTGCATGAAATGACTCCGATTTAACGCGAAAATTGTACCAGCCGATTCATAGTGACGCATAACGTTTAAGGGAATCATCGTGAGTTCTAAAGGACACGTTCGATTTCTTTGAATCACAACCTTGGTGAGTTGGTTTTATTATGCACGAAGCCACGATAAAAGATCTCCACGAATCTACCCCTGCCGTGCACCGGTTCCAATCGAACCAGACTGAAATGCAAACTTTGCGCGTTGCTAATTAAAACGATTGTTTTAAGCTTCCATTTATACATTCAGTGAAACCAACATTGTATTAATATTCGGGTTAACGGCGAATGTACTTATCGAAACGTAAATTTCTATTATCCGAGTATATCCGTTATTCAAATCGCTTTCTTTGAAAGAATTACAAATCTTCGTTACGTAATAGTCTGCTAGAAACGCGAATACCCGACGATAAGACATTTTAATTTGTTCCATAGGTAACTGTCTTTAACAACGCACGTTTTACAAAGCCTTTGATTCTCTACAAAGCGATTTTGCTCCATTTACTTAACGAAGGATGAACATTAGTCAGGAGAATAACAAAGATTTATCCACGAGGCGTCGTTTAACGTTGCGTATAGAAAGCGGCGATTATCGATTTCGAAAAAGCGTGGGACGCGCGTCACAATGTTGTTTTCCGTTGATCAGACGATTAATACGTCAGCGATATCGCAACGAGCACGCTGAATCTTATTGAGTCCGTTCGATTAACATAAGTAGCGCTACGTTAACGGAACCTTCACGATGTTTTCTCTCGACATTCGGTCAAATTTCTTTCCTGGATTTCACACGTGCTAGATGAATTGTTCGTTTCATAGAAGTCGGAGGACTCACCCTTCGCCTTCGCTAGGTTTCAGAGGCAGACGAGCACCCAGCTCGATCGCGGACGCTAGGAACGTCGCGTAGATATCTGTCGCTTCTTTCCACAGCTTCTTTCTGTAACGAGAAGAAAAAAGTACTATGTAATTTTAATTGGATACACCGATAATGAGCGTATTCCTTCCCCTTTCTTATTTTTCATCGTTCAACGCATCGCTGCTTATCGAAAATCGCGTATCGTTCAAGGATACTCTCTTCCTCGAGTCCCATCGACGTACCTAAATATATCGAGAAGTTGCTCGGTTCTATTGCGGTTGAACATGTCCTCCACGTTCAAATTATCGATCTTCAGATGAACCTCGTACTTGGTCAGGTTCTCCTTGTCGAGGACGTTCATGTCGAGAACCTTGTATCTAGTTTCGTAGGTATGCTTGTTCAGTCCCACGATCTCCAGCTGAAAAACAAGATTAGTCGTTAACGTCTCAAAATCAGGCAATCCGAACAGGCGTCTTACCTGGAAGTATTTCTGATTCCTTGGCGCGACGCCATACAGGAAACCACGGTGGTCCCGTTTGCTGTACGTGTAGTGGATCCAGGAGGGAAGATCGGGCGCGTTGAGTAACGAGGGTTGATAAGAGAACTGGTCGTATCGTCCTGAAAAGAAAAATTCCGAGTAAAGGCAATGCGTTATGCAATGTCCGGACGATTTCGTGGGGTTTCGGAGAAAGATATACGATGACTAAAGGCTAGCCAGAAACTCGGAAAGAACTCGTCGGCGTTTCCGGATGCCTCGATCACGGTTAAGAAGTACCCATACCGGCAACGTCAATCAGCTGTGAGGTCGACTCTGTTCATTGATTGATATTCGAAACGTGGCGCGAATGACGCGCGGAAGCACGCTTTAAATTTCAGACAGTGAATCGAGTTGACCGAGAGATAGTTCGATAGAATTTTGAATTACTTCGGCAACTGGTAGGGACAGAATCGAGTTCCATGGTTACAATTTCACGAGACATTTGATTATGCGTGCCTTCGTAACCGTGTTGTTTCCTCTATGCTAATGAGCAATCCAAACGCGTTGTGAATCGGTCATTGTTCGCGTCGACTCGTACGTTGACAAGTAGTAGAATCGCTTCCTTCTTACCATCGTCCCTCCAGTCGAAAGTCTCTGGCTTGATTGGAATGACGAACACCTCGGTCATTAGGATGCTCTCGGTGCTCGCGAAGGCCGACACTGCCAGCGACAATGTTATTACGATCGAGAGCATGTTCGCATCTACCTGAAAAGTATCGACAAACCACAGGTGCTATTAACCCTCTCGCCTTATGTATAACAAACGTATTCGTCCAAGAGCGTACATAAATTTTTCGACAAACCTAAACGACTGAGATATATCAAGCGTCTACGTGGGAGACATATAAAGATTGTACGCAAAAATTGATCTTCCACGGTCATACGTAGAGTACCGTAACGAATTCTTTAGGACAAAAACCTTTCCCCCATGGCTCTCGCGTTTCACGCGTACTTTAGATAACAGTACTTAACTGATCGTGAATTTACGTGCCTACGAAACACGCGTGGGTCTTAAAGGATTAAATGCTGTGCCATAAACGACGACCGGCGACAACCAAGAATAAACATTCGAACGCAAAGCGTTAAAAAGTCGATCGACGACGCTTCGGTGATTTTCGTCGGGCGAATACTTGGACAGTATCCCCTGCTCGCGCAATCGTCGCTCGTCTCATCGATCCTCCCTTGACTCGACGCCTCCAACCTATCGAGAAACAGCGTTGATTTTTCGAAATTGCCGCCGGTATCCGGTCGAGGGAGCTCGAGGAAGTCTCGCGATGAAAATAGACCTCGCGGTTTCGACGTGACACTCTGTACACTCGAGGAATCGCCGGACGCAGCACGCTCGCGGTGTATCGACTTACGAAACGTGAACTGGTCGTGGCAACGATACTTTTAACGGTGAAAACGCGCCTCGGACAGGTTACGCGATGCGAGTGCGACACCAAGTCGAAAATCGTTCCACAGTCGACGCACACGAGTCGAGATCGCGAGATAATTGCTAGAATTCGCGTTAATTAATGAAACGCAGCGCGCAGAGGCGTTGAACGCGCACGCTTCGTCGACTATCGCGACTCGTCCCTACCACCCATCCATCCTCCGACTTCGAGCTTGATTCGAGTTTGCCCGAAAAAGAGGAAAAAATAAAACAAAGGAAAGAAAATAAGGTGTAAGCGTAAACGGAGCATAAGAGAGCGCGTGCGTTTCGCCCTTCTCACGCGCAGCTGGAACATCGCTTCCGACAACGTTCCCAGGAGCGTATGAGCGCTACGATCCGCGCAGTTTTATTTTTCTCCTAAACAATTCGGAAACTCTTATCTTCTAGACGAAATAATATCTCAAGGGCAGTTCGTTACTCGACGTTGGACACGAACCAAAGTTCGCGTGCTTTCGAAAGGAAGCGCGCGAGCGACGCGAAACTGCAATTTTATCGTATTGCATGACTACAGATTTTCATCGACGCGTGCAACAACGTGCGCGCATACGTACCCTTTATCTCCGCTATACTTCCGTTCTGTTCGTTATCGCGTCGTTTTCAACGGTATCCGATAACTAGCCACGCGTTTCCGAGAATAAAACATCGTCGAAGAACGCGACGAATCGAAAAACGATTCGAGTTATTATATCGATCGCGATCGAAAGTCGAAACGAAAGTAAACTCGAATTAAGCGGAGCTTTCGGTAAAGGAGAAAGATAGCTACTCGAAAGGGACGAGTAAGGGATAGCCGGATTTTCGAAAAGTATGATCATGATTCGAAGATAAACTGGGGTGGAGAAGACGAAGAGAAGATCGAGGAGTGCGAAGGAAGGCGCACGCGTTGAGCATCGCGGGTCCGATGCCGGTCGAGGGAGCTCGAGGAAGTCTCGCGATGAAAATAGACCTCGCGGTTTCGACGTGACACTCTGTACACTCGAGGAATCGCCGGACGCAGCACGCTCGCGGTGTATCGACTTACGAAACGTGAACTGGTCGTGGCAACGATACTTTTAACGGTGAAAACGCGCCTCGGACAGGTTACGCGATGCGAGTGCGACACCAAGTCGAAAATCGTTCCACAGTCGACGCACACGAGTCGAGATCGCGAGATAATTGCTAGAATTCGCGTTAATTAATGAAACGCAGCGCGCAGAGGCGTTGAACGCGCACGCTTCGTCGACTATCGCGACTCGTCCCTACCACCCATCCATCCTCCGACTTCGAGCTTGATTCGAGTTTGCCCGAAAAAGAGGAAAAAATAAAACAAAGGAAAGAAAATAAGGTGTAAGCGTAAACGGAGCATAAGAGAGCGCGTGCGTTTCGCCCTTCTCACGCGCAGCTGGAACATCGCTTCCGACAACGTTCCCAGGAGCGTATGAGCGCTACGATCCGCGCAGTTTTATTTTTCTCCTAAACAATTCGGAAACTCTTATCTTCTAGACGAAATAATATCTCAAGGGCAGTTCGTTACTCGACGTTGGACACGAACCAAAGTTCGCGTGCTTTCGAAAGGAAGCGCGCGAGCGACGCGAAACTGCAATTTTATCGTATTGCATGACTACAGATTTTCATCGACGCGTGCAACAACGTGCGCGCATACGTACCCTTTATCTCCGCTATACTTCCGTTCTGTTCGTTATCGCGTCGTTTTCAACGGTATCCGATAACTAGCCACGCGTTTCCGAGAATAAAACATCGTCGAAGAACGCGACGAATCGAAAAACGATTCGAGTTATTATATCGATCGCGATCGAAAGTCGAAACGAAAGTAAACTCGAATTAAGCGGAGCTTTCGGTAAAGGAGAAAGATAGCTACTCGAAAGGGACGAGTAAGGGATAGCCGGATTTTCGAAAAGTATGATCATGATTCGAAGATAAACTGGGGTGGAGAAGACGAAGAGAAGATCGAGGAGTGCGAAGGAAGGCGCACGCGTTGAGCATCGCGGGTCCGATGCCCGGTGCCCGGTGCGCGACGTCTCCTCTCTCAACCATTTACGTTTGCGACGTGCACGGCACTGCCTATTGACGTCTGCGGTAGGCGTGGTTTCAGTCTGGCCGATAGAGGGATATATTTACCGCACACACAACTTTTCTCTCTGGTGCGCGAACGAGCCTCGCGTTATTCGATTAATAATGTGTATTTGCAGTGCGAGGTTTGATGCGACCGGTGCACGGCGCAAAACCACGGCCACTCCTCGGCACAGGGGTTGATTGTTCCGAACACGCGGACGTTTCCTGGCCGGGGGTGACTTCTCCACGAAACTGCTTACAGTGCTCGTCGACGGGAAAAGCTCGGTCTCGCGGCACTCGACGCAATCCCAGTGTGCTTGCGTCGATCCCTGTGACAACCTTTCTGCACCGACGTCTACCTCTTCTGCGTCTCGGTGGGACCGATATCTGTCTTCCCATTAGCGGACGACAGTTCGTTTTTTCGCCCCAAAACACTTGACCAGCTTCTTTCAAAACTTTCCCTTCCTGACACATCGAAGAAATGGCGTGTAACAGCGTTCCGGTTCTGCTGGTTACCGCGAATGTTGGCAGTATTTTCGAGGAGGTACGTAACAGATACATTTTACCTTTCCGTTTATCTATTTCTTCTGTTTGGATTATCGACCACGACCCTGAAGGATCGATCGAGACTCGAAGACGATTTACTTTCGTACGCGACCTACTTCTTTCCTTCCTTCTTCCTCTTTCGTTCGGACTTGCTTGCCTCTCGTTTGGCGCGTCTTTCGTACGTGTGATGCTGTCGCGATACGTCAACTCGTATTATCTCTTGCCTTCTCTTTTGCTTCTTGTTCCTTCATTCAACTTTTTTTCCTTTCGTTTTTCTTGTCTTTGAATCGTAAAGTGTCACGCAAACGTACGCGTAAATACGAGGCGACATAATTATAACATTAACGTACGAACTAAAATCGTCTGTACGTGTATCGATGATTTTCCATAATTATGCGCTCGTTATCGGATCGCTTGAATTCAGATGCGGGACAGGATTACGTCCCCCCTCGTCGAAGAACAAACTTGCGATGCCATTAACTTTTTATGTAGAAAATTAGCAAAGTTAACGAGATCGTAAAATGTATAGAAAAAATAGATTGCTAATATTTCGCGCGGTAATTGACCGAATAATTTCCTTCGCGATACTTTATCGACGGACGATAAAGAGATTATTTTTCTATGCGAATCGAAATATCGATTAAAATGGTAAAATTGTATCCTTTTTACAGCCTAGCGTGATGTTGAAAATTTGGACGGAAGAATTTTTATCTGTAAGTATTACCGATAAGATGCATTGTCACTGCGTAAATACAGCGGGTATTTACACTCATGGAGAATGCTTTCCAGACTATACTGAGGTTGGATCCAAAGTTTATTGCACTGCACTGCCAAGAAGTGGGTGGAAAAAATTATGAACAAAGTATGAGACATGTGGAGGACTTTGTTAGGTAATTTAATGTTATATTTTATAAATTTTTAGTTTTCTATATAAAGTTTTATGTGTTACACGGTCGGTAGCGATTATAGCACTCTAAAGAAGGAGAGATTTCCTAGAAAATCTTGTTAAAGCAAAGCCCCTTATAAAAGGTTTCCACGAGTAAATGAGTCTAACTAAATTAATAGAATATGGGCTACAAGTCTATCGGGTATTTAGCATAAACCTTATTTCTGTAATTTACAGTTGGTCTAGAATCAATGATCAGTTTTGCAAATAATTTTTGAAATAATACCTAGTAATAGCTAAGCATGAACCTTTTTAAAACTATACAGAGACAAATAGGTTTCCCTGACCACGATATTGAATATGATTTAACGCATAAGTGGCAGAAAGGGATAAAAATAGATGATCACGCGTGGCTCTACAGTTGAGTGAGCCGCTTCAAAAGATGAGTTTATTGAATGATGTTCATGGGGGAACATCATAAAAAAAAGTGTTTGAAAATACATATAGTCTATCTTTGAGCTATGAAAAGTTCAGGATCTTTATTCTTGCTAAGCTTACTTGTATCTAACAATATTGTTTCTTGCAGATTACTGATGTCGTCTGAGGAATTAAGGCTGTTTGACAAAATTAGGGTATTCTTAGATGAAGACTATTCGTCTGCTGAACATTTTACGGTACATACATAAAGAATATAAGCTTATTTTATCTACTTACTGATCTCAATGATAACCATAAAAGTATGTATTATTTTTTAGGCACTTGGAAATTTCTACTTTGTGCATGAATCTTTAAAAGAAGTTCTATTATGGGACTTTAAAGGTACATCATTAAGATATATATTATGTTTCCAAGTCTACAGGTAAATTCGTGCAACTAAATGTAATCATGTTGCTATATTTTCAGAATGTACTTTTATACCAGTAAATGGAAAAGAGGTTCATTCCGGTAATATCGAGGCAGTCACGACCAAAGAAAAAGCAAAGTTTCCTCAAGAATTTTTTCCAGAATGCAAATGGTCTAGAAAAGGATTTCTAAGAACACGATGGAGTATTAGTGGAACAGTTTTTGATCTCATAAATATACACTTATTTCATGATGCTAGTAATTTCATTGCTATGGAAACGGTAAGTAAACGTAACTATTAGACAATAGTCTTTTTATTGCATTATTTATCTTGATTCTTTATTTTCAGTTTCCATCCGTATACAGTAAAACACGTAGAAGAGCGCTCGAGCATACGTTAGATAGGTTTCATAATGATAAATATCCAAATGTACCATACTTTTTATTTGGGGATTTTAATTTTAGAACGGACACAGCTAGTGTAATTAAAGTATGTATAAATGAACGTTTAAAAACTATTCTTGTATTGGTGCAAGTATACAAAGAAAATTGTCCTTTCTTCCCTCTTTAATAGAAACTTACAGAAGATACTCAAGAAACAAAGTTATCAAACAAAGGAAGCATCTCGAAATTGCAATTTCACAATAAAGACGATGATCTCATATTAACATTAGGAAAAAAAGAATTCTCTCATTGCGAGCATCAAAATGTTTTTATGCAAAATGGTGGACAATGGGTAGGTAGTTCGTCGTTTAAATAGCAAGCTGTACAATGTTACTTACGATACTGCATTAACAATTAGGAAGACCATAATGAAATTACCAATATTTATATAGCTACGTGAATATGACAGAGAGCTGGAAGACTTTGATGGAAGATTATATGAATTTCCAATTAAATTTGTGCCCAGTTATCCCTTTGAGGAGGATATCAATGAGGGTTCGAATTACATGCAAACCAGAGTACCGGCTTGGTGCGATCGTGTTCTTTTGAGTACCACGGCTAAACTACTAGTCGAAGATGTACGAAATGTTACTGAAAATTTTTACTATAACTTCTTGAAATAACTAATTTTATGTAATTCGTTTCCTCTCTCTCTTTCAGATATCATCACCGAATGCCGTGGAATATGGAATAATAGGACCGACAACTTGCATGGGTGATCACAAGGTGAGATAATTTTGTTTCTTGTTCTAACAGAACAAAGAGGTACTGATCCGTTTTACTTATGCTGGGTACATATATTTACGCTCTTCTTAGTTCTTATTCTGATGATTCATTTTTCTAATTATTATGGTGCAGCCTGTTTTTCTGGAGTTTCGAATGACTCTCTAAGCACTAAGGTACCTATCTATGAACTGTCTGCCTGTTCTTATCTTGATTTTCCCACGTATCCTATATTTCTATTAGTAATCCATTATCTTCTTTATAATTATTACCTAAGGGCTTGTTCGATGTAGCTGGTTCAATGTAGTACTAGTTCATCTTTTTACCAACGTACTAAGTTCACCTTTTTACCAATTTCCACGATTTCATGGTTCTAATTAGCTTTCTGCTATCATTATCATCGAAAGTGATTAAGTATAATTTATTTTCTCACCGCAGGTGTGCACTGTATCGCTTCTTTGATGCATTTTCCGTACAATTCGTAAAATTTACACCAAGAATATTCTAGCGGTATGAAATTACGATCGAAAAACGATGAGAACCCATAAAAAAAACAAACTGTAATAAGAACTTTCATGATAATCGTATCTGAATACTATACACAAACGTTCAGTACCATGTTAGTATTACATTAACCGTACCAAAAGTACAATCGTCACTGTATCATCGTCCTGAATCACGTTAATGTTAGTCAGACTTTTTATAGAGCCTTACCATACGAGGAATGTCCCTCTATTTCTTCATAGAGATGCACGATAATACATAAGGATCGTCCATTTTTTCCCGTTTGCAGCCAGTCTACTTGAGGGCTAGTCTCATCTTGGACGAAGGTATGATAAATTGCTGCCGCTTGCCGAGTGCGCCTGAGTTCTGCTTTCGAGTGCCAGACAATTACGTGGAATTGTTATCCATGTTGCCTGATTACAGTAGTTGCGTTAGCGAGCGGCTCAATTACATGGACCGTTCGACTAATTTGTTGCACGCAGCACCTATCAAGCATGATCCTTACACCCCGGATAGTATGGACAGTCCTAGTCCAAACGCTGTCATGACAGCCTCTGCTGAACTTCCGGACGTAGATTTAGACAACGCCAACAACTCGTCCACGTTGTACTCCGCACAACCATCGAACACTGTGAGACGTATGGACAGAGCCGTGTCGCCCGCTCTTTTGAAATCTAAATTGGAACTGATCGTGCGAAACAAGAAAGAAGAGATAGAGACGGACCAAGAGACGACAGACTTCAAACGAAGTCCCAGCGATTGTTGTCTACACTCTTGGCAGAACCCAGAGGAACAGTGGAACGTGAGAACGAACAGGTGCAACAGTGACGTGTCCTGGCAAAGGTCTCATCTACTGACCGAAGCATGGGTTCAGGGTAAAGGACAACAAGGTTACCATTCCTTCGGTGAATTCGTCAATCGATCGTCCGTAGGTTCAACGTCTCCGGACGGTGTCGAAGGTTTACCCTCCGACCTGATTATACCCAGAATATCGATCATCAACGCCAGCAATTTTGAGTCAAACGAGAGCTCCGTGTATTTACACGATGATAAGTATAACAATTACTCGGAGAACAAGCTGAGCGTTTACTCGGACGATCAGACGAAGAGTTTAAGCGGCGAGGCGTTCAGTTCAGAAAAGTCGGACGAAACGTGCGAGAAAATTCTTGATGAGAACAACAGACTGAGTTCGAACACGAATAAGATTGCAATCGACGAAAACGTGTACCTACGAAACATAAGTGAACTTATAACGAGCCAAGATAAGAATTCGATGATGGTTAGTACAAACGTCTTTCGAATGGGGAGTAACATAGACCAAGATAAGATGCTCGAGGCGAAAGAACAGCGGTTGAGCGAAATTATAGACACCTTGCAGATCATGGAAGACAATAATAGCAAAAATCGATGCGTGCTCCTACCGGTTGAGGCCGTCGATGAGTCTAGTATTAAAAGTAGAAACGTAATTTTGGAAAATCCTGTGAACGATCAGACTTCTGAAGTATTAAAGTACACGCGAACGGAACAGATAGAAGTTCATCCCATGGAAAATGAAGCGGACAAGCTTTCGGGAAGAGAACCGAAAGAAACGGGGCAGAACGTTAAAAGTAGCGAAGAAATTTTGAGATGCGACGGTAAAAACGAGACGGTGATCATGCAGCAGATCACGAGAAGTAACTCTCTACAAAGCCAGGATATCAGCGACAGCACAGGAAACCTGAAATTAAAATTAAAAGCGTATCAAGTGTCGGAAAGGTGTAAGCACAATATAGCCGAGAAGAAAAGCAGATGCCAAAAATGTTGTTGCATAGTGTCGTGAGAAGACACTTAGACCTTAATGTTCCTTATTTATTTTCCATAGTCATCGCATACACAAGTATCACGTACCAATTAGACATAAGCGAAATGTCGAATTATCAGAAACATTTCAGCTATGCTGTAAGAACCTTGCTATCGTAATATTTTCTATCGAAGAACTGACCACTTCAATCAGAAATTCAAAGAACGCAAGATTTATTACCGACAGAATGGTTGGAGAAATTTCTAGTGGTGCTTATTTTTCTTAAATTTATGCGAGATTTATGTACCTCGTAAATCCGTCATTTCGTAATAACTTGTTAGAAAGAAATCCTATGATTACGATACTTAACACGTTCTATTTGTTTTTCTGTTGTACGTGTTAAACGAGTAACTTAGGAGAAAGCGGTACTTCTATAGTCACTTAAAACTTACGATCCCGCTTATGCTAAACCGAGTAGCGCCTACTTCGTACCGCATGAGACTTTCCAATTGTTTCCTGCATGTGCACGATACGTCCTAATATTCTCGTGTCACGTGAATTTCGTTCGTTTAGCGTGTATGTTGTGAACGGTAAAATTATATATATTTTCACATTCTAGATGCGCAGTTGACTAAGCAGTATATATCGTTGTTATATAGCAATGTGTTACGTTGCGTAGAATTCACGAATTCGAAGCAATCGAATGACTGTATTTAGTGAACGAACAATACGATGTATTCAGAAATTAGCATTATCACAGTGTACATAACTGAGCTGCAAAAAACGGTGAATCGCGTTTTATCCTTATTTTATGTTTCGCGATTATTTTAAACAATAAGTAGAATTATCTTGTTATACGGATTACAAATTTTAATTTTCACTGATGAATCGAACAACTCGGTTCTATACGATTTCTTCTATCATTCTCGTTCGAGCCTCGTTTTCAGACGCTTGTCGCGGGAATTCCATCCATTTTTGCATTTTACTAGAATTTACGATATGGATAATATTTTTGAACAAATCTTTCAATTTCTCTCCAGCTTTCCGACCATTTATTTTACATTAATGACACTTTCATAAATTCAGTTTTGTTCAAAATATGTTCATTCAAGTCGTAAGATCTTTGTATGCATCGTATCCTTGCCAAATTTACTGTGTCCTATAGTAATATATTTAAAAAAACGCGCGCGTAAAGTAGTACGCTTGCGCATGTTGAGTGCATAGGTAAATTAGTGCGCTTGCGCATATTTGAACGCGCGCATCTATTGTCCGACGCGGTTGGACCCGACTGCCAAAGCTAATTTCCTTTTAGCGATAAGGAAAAAGATATTAACTTATATTAGCGAATTATTGTCATTTAAGAAATTAACGCTATGCTCTATTTCGCTTTACGTTCTGATGCTTGAACGAAAGCTTTCCTACTTATTCGAGTAACACGCTATCGCGTACAGTAAAGAAGAGAAATAATTATATAAAGATACATAGCGTCTTGATAAATTGTATTTTCTTAGAATGTGGACGTACTTCTTAGTCAGTATCGTTTAACATAGACTAGTTCATGTCTAGATGAACGTATACGTTCGTGTCTTGCCAAAAAAGTTACACGCAATACGAAAAATAATGATACGACAAAAATAAGATTAAGTTCACGATTTTTCCCTTAAACGAGCTATAAGTTCAAAACACTGCGTTCGTAGGTACTTATAGTAAGTATAGCTTGTAACTTTCATTTCATCGGGCAAACTTCACGTCTTTGAATCAGAGCGATGAAAATCACAGCTTCATGCAATCGATTTATCATGCATTTGATTCTGATCCTACTATGCTTACGATTTGTAAGATAATCATTTAGTAATTATTTTTTTGTCGTTTGTAAATATAAATTTATTTTTAATACAACCGAACATTGCTTTTTTTTATTTATATCCTTATGAGTTATAGCACAATTGTTTTCCCGCTCAAATACTAACCTTTTTATTTTTGTACATGTACGTTATTTTTTGTATAAATTCAGTGTTCAATTATTGTAAATGTTACTGTTATGTGCACGTTGCACGACAGTGCACTTTCGCATCTCCGAATATATATTTTCTTGCAGTAGAGCAGATTTAAATAAATGGGAGGAAAAATAAATTTCCAAATTTATAACTAGTTACAATAAATCAATAAACGGGGTAATTTTTTCATTGACGATTGATATATTAGCTCAGAATTTAATTAACTTATCTTCATAGATATTCGAACTCAAATGACAGCGTTTGCATAAACTATACCAGGCATGCAAGAAAAAGAAAAATATATACCTTAATCTGCTCTGCTACGATTTTATAATGGTTAGTCAATGGTTAATTCCTGACTGCAGACACGATGAACGAGGAGTCCGAATCGGGTACGATGTCCAGCTTGACCAGCCGTGAGATATTCAACAACAACAACAACCACAGCAACAACAATAACGACAGCGCAACGACGATCACAAGATACATACACATTAAACACGCGGATTCATCGGTTAAGATTTTTCGCGAAACAACCGTTTGATATCGAATCGATTGTTTAAACAATTTTCGATCGGGAATGAAACGCGTAAAATAGCACTTTACGAGCTTCCATGTTACAATGCACCCTGGGTATTTTAACGGTTTCGCGATGCATCGACCACTGATCTTTCGCGCAGATCTCGCCGCGTCGCTTTCGAAATATACCGGTAATCGAATAATCGATTATCGATTCTAACCTATCGGTTACATTGCTCGATGTCACGATAAATTGATCCTTGAACATTGTCTTACGTGTATTTATGTTTATCCTCAACATTTTGGCAAATTTATTCGAGCAAAGATAAATTCTACAATGGCAAGGTTAGTTTGCGCGACGAACGATAACACGTCGTTCTTTTACAGCGGACCGTAGTCGACTGCCACGAATACCCAATGTGCTCTCGGTGAAAACTATTTGCGCGCGCATGTACAAAAAGACGGTTCCACTTGCTTCGGGTATATTTACACAAAACTCGTTACATTATTAGCGAACTACTGATTCAAATACGTCCTCCTGAAGTAAGAGATGTTGTAAATCTCGTAGCGACATGTTTCACGTTTTCGATCACGTTAATAACATATGATCATTAGTAAAAGAAGCAACAAGTTGACGTTGTTTCAATGCGATCGCGTTAGTAGTCACGTGATGTAACGAAACGTATCTATCGGTACAATCACGCGAGTAACATTTATTATATGTTATTTTTTCAATGTCTCGATGTTCCTGTGATGCGTTCTTTTGATCAAGTTCTTCCCGTAATGACCTGTGATCTTGCAACGATTTTTACGATCGAATGAGCAAAGATTCACCACGGGAAAAGCGTTTTCAATCGAAGATCGTTCGATGTGATATTACCGTGGTACATACCTCGCTTCGTCAATCTTTGCTGTTAAAAATCAGTTAAGAGAAAGAATTGCACTACGATTGCTGCCAAAAATTTCCTTCGATTTGAATCTTTTACGTATTTGTAAAAGATCGATGAAAGTCACTCGCGAAGATACGAATAAAAAATTAATTATAAAAATAAAAAGAGTATAGGAAGCGTTACAATTTCGGAACTTGCACTCTTACGAAAGTTTTTTCTTTTTTTTTATTGATATTTTATTTTCTTTTTTTCTGTACATAAGCACATTAACTTGAATGCTCACAGAAAAAAGTTGGCAATCTCTGACGCAATTCGCTCGAAGCACCCGATCCACGATAGTATCTTAATCCGATCCAATTGAACTAAATTTGCGAGTACATTCCATTAGCGTAACCACTAGAGCGAGTGGACTCGATGCTTATTAAAATACGTTGGAAGGTACTCGATATCGTTCAGATAGAAAAAGTAAAAAAAGAATTTAGACGTTATAGATCGTATGTATTTGCACGCAACATATCTGTATTCCTTTATCGACATACACGTGATAAATCGTATACTCGTGTTGCAAGCTTTTTGCGGAAGCTTGTTGCTACTTAAAAGTCCTTACTGTTAGATCCCTCACTGCCTCTGGTTACGCCACTGGTGCATTCAGATTTTTCGATGTTCTTATACATAGTAATGCGTCCACGAAATACGTTGTAAAATAACGTATTATGAATAACGATGGATCATGTTCGTTCGTTTCGTTTTAAATTTCTATTATACCGACTTTTTTACTTCGTTTTAAGATAGTTTAAAGGATCGTTTAAGAATCCCCGCGTCGTCCGCTATGGATTATTGCCTGCAGTACAACCAGCGACCGATTAATTATTTTGTAAGAAGATTTATCGTAGCCGGAAAATTGGTAAACTCGAAGGAATCGAGACATTTACCTGCGACTGTTTTTCGAATCCGTTCCATCTTACGATGTTGCGTCTTTAAACGATGACGAACAAAAATATGCGCATATACCGAACAAGAATGGTACCGAAAGGTGTTTTACCGCTCGTTACGTGACATACACTCGATTCTCTTGAGCCACGTTTTTCTGAAAAAATTGTGTTTTACCGAATGTGTCCCGTTCAAGTGTATGTCGACGATAATTGTAAGCCATTCCTTGAGAATTAGCCGTAAGGTAGTTGACTTTAAAGCGTATAATTCGATGGCTACAAATTTTCCAAAGTACCTGATATCAGTTCCGTATCGAAGCATTGACTAGGCTGCGATTCCTTCTTCCGTGTGTCCGTTCCGTACAATTTCTGGGTATTTCATAAATTGGTAAAACGTCCTGCGCTTCGCCCTATGCAGTACCTAGAAATACGTAGAGTTTTGAATTATACGCTTTACCTGTGACGTAATACATTTAATTCGATGTATATAGGATTTAAGGATTTTCACGCTTTTACCAGACTGGTTTTAGGATCTTCCGTGCGTGTAAATTTTTCGAGAAACTTTTCCACGAAAATGTTGATTGATCGCTTTGATACTCGTACCGATAATTCCTGTTTCTTTGGAAATTGACTTCTGAGCCAGCTTGAAGCAAAGAGAAAATGCTAGTAACGGGAATATTAGAGTTAAAAAATAGATGAAAGAAGCTGAATTAGCTAGCGATTCAAGTTTACAAATCAAAGTACGATAAAATCGAAACGCAAAGCGCGCTATTGAAATCCTTACTTGTTCCGATGTTTTAAGAGACGTTATTTCTTCCGTTTTTTTCGACGGAACGTGAACGTTGTACTTTTATAAATATGAATGTACTTATATTTTGTACTGATGGTACCTTGCAAGAATATAATACGTTAAACGATGAAGTTATATGTACATGTATAATGTGTGTTACGAATAAACGTTTTAAAGTAGGATCACTTTAACTCGAGATACGACCAAACTTTGTTGAACCGAGAAAACTGGGACAATGTTTTTGTTAAGTTCTGGAACCAGTGTATATTAAATTGTGATGCACTTGTTTTATGTACTAGCTTAGAAAAAAACGAAATAAAATTATCGTTCTGCGATATCTGCGAATACATGTATATAATTTATAAATCCTCCAATTTTATGTTCAACGCTCATCAACCCTTTTATCATTTTTGTGTCACACCCTGTTGTACCAACTGGAGCTGGTATTATTTCGTCCGGGATCGAAGGGGTGACGGTTCTCCATGACGTCATCCATCGGGACAACATGCCCTATTCTAAGAGTGTCAGCTTAGTCTGAATAAAACGTTTTTTGCCCGTTTAATAATTTTCCCCAATAGATCTTCGTGGATAAACGTTGCACTTGAGGCATTGTAATACGAAGAAGAAATGTAGTACGATGATATATGGTGAGAAAATAACGTTATTAAAAAGAAAACAATAATATCTGGTGAATACGCAACAAGCGTCAATGCACGAGATACGCATCGATCTCACCGGGAAAACATGAGTGACAGAAACAGCACGAAGAACGACGTTAGCTTCATGGATAGTAATGGGCTTCGAATGCAATATCAATACTTTTTTAGGACAGGTGAGTATTAAAACATTGGCACTTGTACGTATAAATAATTTAATTCGAGCATCGAACGTAATTCGATCGTCGGTCATAATGAGCTCAGACGTATTCACATTTTTACGAATTTTTTTGATGCTTAAATAAATGTAAGTAACTGTTATGTTTATCGTTTTAAGTTTCTTTTCATACATTTTACATGTTTTATATAGTTATGCAAATAACAGAAAAATTTTCTTGTATATATCAAGATTCATGTAATCTCTAAAGATCACCACCTGTTACTATCATACAGTATCATATATAATATGTAATATAATTCCATTAGGTTTAAAATAAACAAATGCAACTTTAATTCACATATATTATGCTTTGTATAATAAAACCTTGCTGAATTAGTGGCTTTCGAGCAATTACATATTAGGCCATGTCCTTTTTAACTGTCTAATCGAAAGGAATACTTGTCGCTTAGCATTAGTAAATAATCCCTATTTTGATAAATTAATATTTTGTTTATGAAAATAATATATTTTATTGCATCTTTATTTTGTAGGATGGAAAATAAACCCTTGTCGATTAGTTTTTTTCAGTTAGTTCTGTTGTCTTTATTAGTCATGCATCCCATATCCTGTTATCATTTACAATTAAAAAAATCTGTATCATTCAATATAAATGATGTTATCATTATAAAGATGTACGACGGAAAACAAAGGACATGGCACACCTGTAGATATGAAATGCCGGACTAGTGGAAGTTGAAGAGTAGAAAATAATAAGCAGAAGGCTGTAGTGCAGAAGCTAGTGAAAGAATTGACCAGTACTTAGTACCATACCACGCAGGAATAAATAAGGATAATGAGTCACGCTCAGCAGCATGTACTTGCAAGCGCAATAGTTTTGGCTCTGATAGTGGTTGTTGGTATCCATGTCTTCCTGTTTCCTATGTACACATCCAACCCACCAGCACGCCATGTAAAGATTTCAACGTATGAACAAGCTCTTTGTCATACCACTTTAAAAAATATCAGAGTACCACCAGAATGGAGAAATCCTTGTCCCATAAATGGAATAGTTTCGGCTGTCCAAGGTGGTAGGCTTGGAAATCAAATTTGGGAATATGTTTCTGTATGGGCTACCGCTAGAAGAACTGGCTTAGAGCCATTCATGCCACGTTGCATACTGAAAACTCTTGAGGAATACTTTGAAAATCTTAGCATTCCACCGCTCAGTTACATCGGATGGTGCAAGTTAGATGTCAGTCAAGTTGTTAACTCCCTGGGGGAATGGAACAGCACGGAGCAAAACATCATCATACCAAGGTAAATGATTTTATTTCATTTGCTATAGTTAATACTGTATTTTGTAAATATTTTTGTTGGTAGACACGCGGCTTATTGGTCCCTTATCTTGGTGTGGTTGGATGATATACGAAGAGAATTTACATTTAAACCAAATTTAAGAGCTTATGCAGAAAGGGTATTGAAAGAAGTGGCAGAAGAATTTAATTTGTCTGAACCAACGTTTGTAAGCATACATGTACGAAGAACAGATTATGTAGACTATCTGTGGCAAAAATTGAAGATTCGACCTGCACCTGTTAGCTATTATTTTGCAGCAATGGATTACTTTATTGGCAAGTATAATGATGTAGTGTTTGTAGTAACTAGCGATAATATAGTTTGGTGTAAGTATAATTTACATAGTAAACGACATAGAATCAAGTTCGTTTCTGATATGAATGCAAGAGGTCCAGGTAAAGATCTTGCAGTCTTATCAGCATGTAATCACAGTATTATAGATTATGGTACATATGGTTCGTTTGGTGCAATCTTGGCCGCTGGAGAGACTGTGGTGTACAATGTAACTACATACTTTTCGACATTAATTGCCGAAGTCTTGCCGAACTGGAAAATAATGAGTTAAACAAAAATCAAAAATTAAATTCTCTAATTTAAAATAGGGCATATACATATATATCTACCTTATTCAAAATATATTTTATATGAAATCAAACAATGATTTTGTTCAATTTTCGAACATGAGAATTATACTCCTTATTACTTCGAAATTAAAACTGCTCAAAAATTAAATTTTTTATACTATTTTTTATTAGGAAGACATATTTATTTATTACTTAGAACTTCTGCAAAAATTAACATTTCGACAGATATTTATTTTTTATTTCGATACATCTATGGTATTGAAATGTTTATTATGTCTTCAAATTTTGTCAAAAATTTCTCTAAAAAAAAAAACTAAATGAAAGTGTAGCGTTATAATTCACAAAATTTATATCAAAATAATATAAGTATGATGCTGATAAATTGCTTAAAAACAATATGCATAAGTTTTCACTTGATTACAGCACTGTTAGATAAAATTTAGAAACTGATGCACCTTTGATGGTAGTAAAAGAATTTAAATATTTTAAAGAACATATAGAAACCTAATATAGTAGAAAAATACAATGGAACAATGGACCACTAATGTCTAAAATTAAAACAGATGCTTATTTTTTTTACTATTGTAATTCGTATTCATGCGGCCAAGAAAAACTGAATAGATTCGATATTCTTTTATTGTAATGAACCAATGAACTGAGCCTAATCTAAAAATTCACAGAAAAGCTTTACAGTGGTCGGAATTAAATACAAAAACTTCACGTAACAATCGGGAAACAAAAGTAGTTAAATTTAAATGTATTATTATGCGTTGAATTCGTCTTTCACACAAAGTTACAATCGAACTTGCAGATATAGAAACAAAAATATAGTAACAAGCTATAACTCTTATAATGTACAATGATTTTAACTGTGATTCTATTTCTTATTGTGCCAAATTCTTAATATATATATATATATATATATAAACAGAATATATATATACACATACGTACATATATGTGAATATAATAAATATATATGTGTGTACTAATAATACACGTACTTATACGCGTGTACATACACATATAGTAAAATTGTATCTATACAAGGTATTATATAACATAATGTTTCCAAATGTTCAAGAAAATAATTAGTTATTTCTTTACACGACAATTAAATATTTCTGAAACTGACAAAATCAATAGAACGATATTTTACATAAGCCAGCCTATACGTGTTTCAACTTTATTAACCATGTGACCTGATATATTCGATTTATAATATTTTATAAATTAGATTAGTAGATGTATCTATGTCTGTATGTTGATATCTCTCACTATATATGTATAAAGGCATTTTCAATATAATTGTGCCTGTTAGTTGTTATGTATTAAGAAATATGATACAGAAATTATTAAAAAGATGTGATAGAAAAATAGTATCTATACATAATTTAAATAAATAACAAAAAGTTACAAATTGAATAAAGACACACAACTATCAGGCATCAATATGATCTACTTTGTACTTTCTGTGATAATTTTATGTAATTTCTAAGAAAAAAAAACAATAAAACAGATGCACTGGAATTTACTTGTTTCACAAAATAAAGATATTCTGCATCAAAAATTATCATTTTATTGCTTTCCTATTCTATTAATTAGTAGTAAAAATACACTTGGTACTCAATAAATATACATATGTGTGTGTGTGTGTGTGTGGACAATATACACACATTAGTCAAAATATTAAATAAAAAAACTAGTTTATTAAAATCCTATAGACTAACGATTTACGGTAACAGGGCCAGCCACTCCTGAACCCAATTTTGTAGTCATTCCTTTTACTCTTAATGGTTGAAGACCAAGTTCACTTTTTGGAATTCCATATTCTTGTAATTTAGCTTCGTATTTCCGAAGCAAATCATCATGGGCTTTACAAACCTTTGCTAATTCATACTGAAGATCTTGTATGGCGCTATTTTTTCTATTTAACATTTCCTGCAGAAAAAAGTGCGAGTTATGATAATGTAAAATATAAAAAAGACTTAATATTACAAACCTCTAATTTTTTATTTGCATTGGCCACAGCTATTGGATCTAATTGAGCAGCAGCAAGCACCTCACTGATCTGCGCTTCACGTTGCTCTAGCAAATCCGATAACTTTTCAAGTTTTTTCTCTAAAAGAACATTTTTCAACCCTGTCTTTTGTTGAAGCTCGAGTATAGCTGAGACAAATTTCGAATGCAATTCGTCTCTTTCAGCTTGACACTAAATCATAGAATTAAAAATTTCAATGAAAATAATATAAAATTTCTTTACAAAGAGATTAGTCATTGTTAACATACTTTTTCAAAACGCAACTCAAGTACTTCGTTTTCCCATTTTAAATTTTCCAAATCTTTTGAAGTTATCGCTAATCTTTTTTTAGTGTTCTGAAATTATTAAAAAAGCCTTAGAAAATATTAAAGTGATCAAGATTTACGAATAGAAATTTACTAACAACTAAGTTCTGCTTATCTTTCTCATAATTTGCAAGTTGACGAGTGTAATTTGCTAAGGACTCTTCGCAAGATTTTAAATCTGTGGAATATTTTTTATTCTCAACGGTCAACTCTCGTACTTGCTTTTTCATGCGTTCCTCGTTACTTCTCATTACTTCCATTTGTTCCTGGAAAATTTATTAAGCCGTAAAATTAATAAATTTGTTCCTTATTATTGATCATACCTTCATGCTCTTTATTAAGGACAAATTATTAAGGGTAATATCATTATAATAATTTTTCATTTCTGCAAATGCAGTTTCATGATTTTTTATTAAATTTGCAATTTGCGTATTTTTTCTCTCTTCTATTTCCGTTATTTCCATGCGATGTTTTAAGGTAAGAGATTCGTATTGATTCGCTAATTTCAGTTCATATTTATTTTCCATTTCTGTGGCTTCTGTTTCGAATTGTTTTATCAGTTTATCTGTTTCCTCTGCATTTTTCTAAATGATAAATTTCCGTTTACATAAATGAATTGATGATAATAATTAAACTATGGTGGCGTTTATTTCATACCAATTTTAAAGCACGTATTTCATTCACATGTGCTAAATCTTGTTCTTTTTGTAATCTCTTTAATTCCATCTTATCTTTAATTAATTCATTTTCTTGGGAAGCATGATCATCTTGTGCCATTTGAAGTGCAACCATATGATCTGCTTTAGTTTCTGATAAATTTGTTTGATGTTCATACATTAAATGTTTCACTTTCTGTTTGTATAGTTTCAGTTCTGCTTCATGTTTCTCTGTTAATTCCTCTTTTTCACGTTCTGTGTTTCTTTACAAGGATTAAGTAATGAATTATATTTGCAATTTAATACTGTAGATAAGATTATTAGGATACTACCTAATGGTTGCGCGTGCTTCGTCTAACTGATGTCTTGTAATTTCCCAAAATGTTCTAAGTTTATCTCTCTCCAATTGGAAGAAGTTTCGTTCTTCCCTTTCACGTTCCATTTCTTCAAGTATCCTGTGTGCATAAACTTCCAATTGCTCTCTATTCATTTTGGTTGTGTTTACTCCATCAACCACAGCAGGTGCTTTTGCCTTTTTAGGTCCCTATAAAATTTCAGTGTAAGAACTCATCACATTTTTAATAAAATATTCGAAAGCTTACCATTTTTATAAAATGTCAGTATCAGAAAACTAAAATGATATATAAATTAATATCAATCACAATTTCAGCAATTAAAAATGTAAATTTATCAAAGAAAAATGATAAATAATGGAAGAAACAACATAAACTGTCGCTGTAAAATGTTGATATTTTTATTTTTTAAGTTCACTAACAAGTATAAGCGTGAATGCAAAATCGTTACTTGACATTGAAGTGAAATTATTGTATTGGTAGAACAGTTGCCAAGTAACCAGAGCTCACATTGTACAAAATACGAAGGAAATATATAAAACACATAATATAGTATACAGGGTGTATACCGTTTCTAATTATTTTATAATTTTGAAAATAATTAAGGTGCAGTTAGTTACTAGTTCACCCTGTATAATACTATAAAATGCAAAATATTTTATTCCTTGAAGACCTTAATACATTATCGTAATTTTTATACATGTATAAGAAACGCATCAGAACACAATAAATGCATGCAAATTTAACAACACAGTAGGAACAGTATCTTCAATTTTGTAATGACAATTTTAAGTTTTTAACATTTAATGAGAAATATGAAATTATTTATTAATACAAGAAAATTACATTTGTTCTCGTTCCGCAAAAAATAAATTTTAAATAAACTTATTTTTACTATTTCTGTTGATTCATATAAATATTGGCTGTATGTCATGTCATATTATACGACACGTTTAGAAAAAACGTTTTCTTTTTTAAAGCGCTATGTTACAAAGATCCGTGTAATAATTTTCATTATATTGTTCGTCACATTATAAATTATTTTATAAAAAAAGTGTCTACATTTCAAGACACCACATTTATAACACATTAAAATTCAATAATGATAAATACCTACTACATTACCCATATAATATTTTTCAAGCAACTAAAAAATGCATATAAGTAACCTATAAATGTGGCCACTGACCATATTATGTATTGAGTCCAATAATGTGACAAGACACTAATCAATTGGCATACTTTACAATCTTCGAGCAAAGTAAAAATATATAAATAATAACAGGTGTTAAGTACTTATCACTGCAATTAATTCTTTCCTTTTTTATGGGTTTCTAATTAAAAAAGTATATTTGTAAAGATTCATGCCTCGTACGTAGAACTCGAACAAATATTTATAAAAATGTTTAGAAAATAAAATATGAGGTAGACCTATATTACTCATACAAAGAATATTTGAGTTAATTTTATGCGTTGAGTTTTGGTCCATTATAATCATGTATATAAACACGTGTAAGGTTTGTGCCCACATTAGGTTTTTATGCGATAATTACGTAATATGTTCCAAACTAATACCCTAAGATAATTTTCTTATTCTTCATAATACAATTTTGACCACGGGCTTTTCCCATTGCTAAAATGTAAAATGTTGTAACTACATATACAACAATTCCTGAGAAATTAAATATTATATAACAAAAATAAATAATTATGTTAAATAATTGCATATTAATCTTCAAAAAGATTCATTTTTGGAATGCTATATATATTATGCACTTATTTATAATTTTAGCTTGTTTCGCCATTAAATTGGAGCAGACATCCTACTGCACCGAAATAACCCTGTAAATAAGAAAATATCATAACACGTTCAAATAAGAGTATTTAAAATTTTATAAATATTTTTACTTATAATACCTCGTGTTCTAAGAACAAAGCTTTCATTGTCCCTTTAGACCAGTAATCCATAGCATAGGCCAAAAGTTTCATTGATATAGGGTTTACTCTAAGAAAATTGCCTACAAATACTACCTAAAAAATCAGTCAGCATTATTAACATAAAATACTCTACAAAAAATAATTAATTATATACTTTATTTACCCTTTCAATTTTTTCATTCACGGCACACATACGCGCAATAGAACCAATGTTGTTTGTAATAGTAACGAGTGTTGCTCGTGCAAGATCTTCTTTACTAACTGCATTTCGACGATCTTTCGAATTCATCTGTCCAAAACTACATATATAATTAAAACAATATGCAGGTAAATCTCTTGAAAAAATAAATTATAAAACTATTTTAAAAATAAATGAGAAAATAAAATAAATTGTAATTATTAAAAAGAGTACCTGCTTGCAACAAGATCTCCAGGAAGACCAAATGGTCCATAATCCCCGCCATAAATATCTTTGACCAACTTGTCCACTCTAGTATTATCACCTCCAGTTGCTAATTCTATTGCCTCTTCAAAAGTATTACATCCAGTTAATAAACAACACAATCCTAAAAATGTGCCACCTCCTAGACTAAATAGAAAATAAATTTATTAGTATTAATTTTTAATATAATATAAAAAATATATTGAATTTTATTACAAAAAAGCATACCTGGTACCAGATATTCTTTTGTAATTATCTGGACCATAAACAGCTAATATGCTTACTCCTGATCCTATGTTTACCAGCTACAAAAATATTTAATATACATCAGAATATATTTAAATATTTAGTGTACGATAAATTTTAAACAATTACACATACTAGAAAAGGGTATGGCTCAGAGAAGTCATAAGGAATCTTGTGACATTTACTATCATCTGTAGGATGAGACCAATAATAACACTCGTGTGGATTTGTTGTTTCTATATAAAGCATACCACGTATTAAACTATCTAACTCATCAAACTTTGCTAAATTCATGTTTACTTCCTGCAAAGAACATACATGCAATTTTAAAAACAATGAAATAAGTAAAAAAATGGAATAAAAAATTGTATCTCTTACTTGTTTAAAATTTTTTTCAAACTTATATGCTCCACCACCAGTAGCACAAACAGTTGTTACCAAGTTTGCCATACCCTTGGATCTTGCTAATGCTAGAAAATTTCCCATTTCACTTGTAGGAAATCTAATAAAATGTAATGTACCACGTCTGCCTCTAATGCAGACATTATCCATCTATAATATGAATAATATAATATAAAACATATTTGCAGTAAAAACATTAATCATTAATGAAACATACTTGTAAATGTGTATCTCTGTAACCTGTTTTTCCATATGCTGAATTTTTAGTTAAATACCGCCGAATATTTTTCAATGTCTCTACCTCTGCATTTGCTTCATCTCTTGTAATATCTTTAGGTTCAAAATACACTAGTTTAGATAAAGTACCTCCTATATCCATACCAAACCATGGCATTGCTAAAAAAATAAAGGGCATCATTCTATCATATTGTGACAATATATTTTTATGTATTAATATAATAGTCAATAACAAACAAATGACATTACAAATTATAATAAATTAACTTGTTATGTTTCAAGCACATAATATTTATGTACACAATAAAAGAAAACAAGCTACGAGCATATTATAAATGTACATGATACTATTGTGATAATGCAAATAAATACACAAGAATAAACAAGTAAAAGAAGCTTCAAAATGTTAAAAAGCATTTTATATATTATATGCAATACTGTAAAACAATGGACTTGTTGATAATTGATGTATATGAGGATCACTTTGAATTAAAACAAATACTTGCAATACTTCTTTAAAATAAGTGTTCATTATATTATAATCATAGTGATACTCATATAAAAACAAAACTAATAATAAAAAATAAAAGTGGCTACTCTAAGCACACATACAGTTAAATAACTCACAAGGAGATGAATGGTTTTTAGACTCCTTAGCTGGAGTACCAGTACCAGTATAACCATTAGATGCCATAGCTTTTGTTGTGATCTGACTTTTATAACTCTGAGGGCTCATTGTTAAACTCTAGATCATATATAATTTTGTCCAATATAATACACAATTCTTTGACTGAAAATCAAATTAAAAACATCATATTAATATCATAATTTATATGACAAACTACGATTAAATTATTTTTAGATGATTTCAAAGGATATGTATTGTAAAAATCTGTTATTCTCAAATATAGTATGTGTCAAAGGTTATTTTTTAATCATGCATATCATGAATTAAAAATGTGCATAAATGTATTTTGCAGGTTCTTCTATTCTCTATTATGAAAATAAGCTGTTTTTACATACAATATTTAAATAAAAAAGATGGTAACAAAATACTTCAAATAATTTATGAAACCCTATATTCTATTAAATAATATTAAGCACACTGCAATTATATAAATTTATTTTTATATTGAAATTTATTATTTTAAATAATGTAAAGTTTCATAGAGATTTAATATAATTTTAACATTTTTTCTTGAAATCTTATTTCCATATCATAGACTATCCTTCATTCTATATACATATGTATTTTATAATTATGGTAGAGAACATCCATTAATAGAAAGTTGACTAAGATGTTTTAATAATTAGTCTATATATTTTCTATTATTCAGCAGAAAATTATTTCAAGTTCATCAGTTCAAATATAATCACCTAAAAATGATGGACTGATATGTACGTTTATAATTAACTTGAATTAACTCATAATCGTAAGTATTAATGGGTTAGTATTACTTGCAAAATAACGCCATCAGTATTCGTAACGATCCCAGATGACGAATCATACAAGCGTCGACACACATACGTGCTGCCATGAGATTATTATGACCATATATAAAACTTTTTATTAAATTTTATGCGATAAAAGGAAAAAATGAATAGATACTGACGCTGAGTAGATAATAACTATTGGTTAATGCAAACTCGAAAGCGAAGAAAATACTCATACCACTTCTCATGTCAGCCAACGAAATGATGAAAAAACTAATAACCGTGTCGTAAATGGTATACGTAAAAGCAACAAAATAATTTGTTCTTACCTGAAATTGTCATCTTAATCTATTTACAATAAAAATTCTGGCAACTTATATAAAGATAATTATGATATTTCACGATAAAAATATTACTTAATTATTTTTATTATCGAATAAAAACGCTTGTTTTATAAAGACTGACATTACAACTACCGATTCATAGCTTCCTATGCTAATAAATAAAATATTTATTTTTCTAAACTTATATCACAATCACTGCTAATCTGTATAAAATTAGTAATATTGCGTTATAACAGCTGTTTAATACTATCTCGAAAACATGTCTCATGAACATAGGCTGATACGATACTCCTTCCTTTAACCCTTATTTGTTTTTCAAATTCCCGGTATAATGGTAGATAGTAATTACGTGATCGTGAAAATGTTAGTTCATGTTAATTTTTTTTATACCCACGTGTAACGCGTAATGTCAGATTGTTGACGTCATGTATCCATGGTACAGAAATTTATATTGAAGGTATAAATAGTAATGTTACGTAAATTATTAATATTATTATTAGTAAAAATTACTTTAAAAACTTTACTATTACAAAATTTAGAATTGTTGCTATGTTCATTACTAGAAACTCGAATGATAAACTTCGGAATAAAATAACTATGTTCGTTATCGCCTATATATACATCTGTAATATGCTATTTTGCAATCATACGATCACGTGTCTTATCGATATAAACGTTTATATTTATATTTCACATAATTAACACTCATTATTTAATTATAATTCTATCATTGCCTGTTTTACTTCCTGTACAAATTTTATATTATATTAAAAAACTATTTATATATGGATGTATTAAATTGTATTTACTGTATCTGTCAAAATTATGTAACTTATTAAACAAATTAATTCTTTTTAAGCTATTTCAAAAGATAGCTTGAGGGTAAATAGCGTTGATATTGTAATTAATAAGAAATGGTATAAAATATTAAATATTTTTATTAAGATTCAATATTACTCATTTTTATTTGTCTCTATTATTTAACTGCATTGGGCACGAGCCATCATAGAGATTTTCTGTGCCTTCTGTACTATGTCTGGACAATGTCTACGACGTACAAGTTTACAATCTTGAAAGAAACCTTCGTTTCTAGGAAAACCATGTGATCCATCAGCATATGTAACTAATCCTGTAGATCATTGAAATAGTAATTTGTTGGTATCATGTAATCAATATTTGTGATATTATACATACCTAAACCCCATACACGGCCACCACGAAATTCTCCTTCAAATTTCATTCCATCTGATCGCCAAAATACACCATGACCATGAAACCAACCTTGCATAAATTCTCCTTCGTATCTGATATGTAACAAATTTGTTGAAATTAATGATGATATAGCTTACAAAACTTTCATTAGTATATTTACTTTGCTCCATCTGGAAATACTATTACTCCTAAGCCAGAACATAGTCCATTTTGAAAACCACCATCATAACGTGTTCCATCAGGGAGTAGTAAAGAACCAGCACCATGTTTTAAGCCCTTTGCATTCCAATCTCCAATATATTTTGTACCATCTTCATATTTATATGCACCATTTTTTACTACACCTACAAATAAATTTTATTATACTTATTTCTTGATTGTAACACTTTTTTTACAGCAGTTATTTCCAAGAAGAAATTACTACAAGTCTTACCATCACCCATGCTTCTGGTATACTAAAAGCATTAAAGAGTAACTTTCAGGTTTCAATCCCATTACAGAAATCAATTCTTTATTCAATTATGTACATTATGTACAATATAGCATAAACGTGATCAACTTCTTTTACAGATGTATAAAATGTGACATAACAAAAGAACTGTTAGCTTCTCTGATATATTTGAAGAAGTACATAAAATTTTAGTTTTGTACATAAATTCAAAAATATGCAATATACTATTATTATTAGATTTATTTCTATTAAATAAAAATAAATGTATATATTTGTAAGTTATAAAATATTTTATTATAACTAAATTAATATAACTTAAAATAAACAGATCATTATTCTTTAAGTCCTCCTGGTGCGCCAACTAAAAACCATCGTGTTCTCGCATTTACGGCAGCTTTTCGGACCAACCGTTTTCGATCGTCAATAGGAATTGCTAATTGTTCTATCACCTCTTGTTTGTATATATTAATTACAACTGTAGGATATTTGCAATAACTTGTTAAACATTCCAGAGCTGCAATTCTGACTTTCTAAAATATATAATAATATAAAATGCATGAGACAACATTAAGGGGGTACTCTATCAGATACACGACTCATAAAATATTACCATTGTTTTGTAAGTCGATAATTTTAAAAATCGTGAAATAAAGCATTGTATTTTGTCAGAAAAAATAACATGTTCGGACTCCAACAAAAGTTTCAATGTTATTAATGTTGAATAAATTAACTGCTCATTGTCAAGAGATAAAGACTCTATTAAAAGTGGAACCAACTGAAAAAATGTATTTATTACTGAAATAAATGATAATAATTATGTTGGTATTTAATTACTACCTTTGTTAAGTGCATAAATAAGAGTTCCACAGGTATTTCTTCTAAGAGGAGCACCAATGCAGTTAAATAATTTTGTCTTGATGAATCCTCGAATTCCAAATTTTTGTTAATTAAATGTTCAAATACTCTTTGCTTGAATAAAATTTTAATATTACAAAAATTTTCTTCCACCAAGACATTCTCTTGTTTGCTTGTTAAAATTGTGTATTCTTGAGCTACATATTGACCTATGTGTTCGTGTTTCAAAATATTTGTAAGCTATAAAATGGTATTAAAAAACGTTAAATATCGATAAAAAAATATTTAAAACATTACAAAAAAAATTTACGTACTTCATTTAAAAAAATTTCACCATCACGACAGCCTTTTGTAATGATAGCTTTCGTCAACCATACTTGCAAAGAAGCTGCAGCTTGTTTTATTTCAATATTAATATTTGATTTCAAATCATTAGCTATTTGATTTTTGAAATACGACAGTATACTTTGAAAGCATGGATTACTGTCATTCATTTTGTTTAGTAATACAGCAAAAAATTCCCACGTTATAGATTTTATATTTGTATGAATATTATTAAGTACTAAACTATACAAATTTTTAAACAAATCCAAATTTATTGGTAGATCAATACTTTGACGCAAAGGAATAAAAATATTCATGATAAAAATAGCGTCAATTTCCGAAACTTGTTCATTCAAAATTATGGCGTATTTATTAACAACTCTTTGTTGTTCTTCAAATGTAAGGTTTCTTATAATTAATCGACAAATGTTTAATACTAGATTTAATCTCTGATCAACAGGATTAATTTTAAGAGCAGCCAATTTTTCAATGATATTACATTCATTATACAAATAATGTTTTATATTATAGTCAATATTTTCTACAACAACTAGCCTATGAAGACACGTTAAAGCCGCAAAGCTTATTTCAGAATTGGCAACATTTGTCTGTGAGACAATATGTGGAAGAATTTCAATACCTAATTCATACGTTTTAGCAACAGCTGTAAGAACTTCCAATTTATGAATTTGTACCTCAGTGTTTTCTTCGTCTGAAACATTTAAAATAAGATACATATTTATATCCTAAAACTAAATGTGCTACTCGTTACCATTAAGATTATTTCTATTAATTTACCAGCCGTTAATAAAAATCTTTCCTTCATCAAATTTGATATTTCCCGTGGATACAAAATAGCAAAACTTAAAAGAGACGCGTAACAAATTGTTTTTATTTCATCAGAATTTGTTTTACTGAGACTACATATTTTATCATAGAGTGAACTTCGGTGTACTTCATTCAAATACGCTTTTTGTAATGTTAGTCCCAATAATAATTGTGTTTGTAATTCTGCATGATGTGTAGATAATTCATGCAAATATAATTGCGGTATATCTGTCCATGATAATTCTGGAACATCTGAATGAAATTTTATATTATATTTAATGCTTTTCAGATTGCATATTTTAAGACATATAAAAGATATATTTACCTTTGATGTTAAACCTATGGTCACAAGCAATTTTAATAAAGATGTTTAGTGTTTCAGTCAAAATAACTTTATCAATTATGGTAGTTTTGGTGGAATATTGACCAAGGCATGATGGTATTATTATTCGTAATACCTGTATGCAAGATTCTTTATTAACCATTGCTATGCACTCTAATAATTTTACAGATGATCTAAAAGAACTAAGTTCTATGTCATATAGAGATGATTTTGTATCTGTGATTATATCATCAATGAATATTTCACAAATCTTAGTATCAGCTGATAGAACTTCAATCATAGACATGACTGCTTTTAAACTAGCATTTCTTAACTCTACATCTCCACCTGGTATAATTTCTTTCTTTAAAAGTGGCCATAATTCAGTCGAATATCGTTCAAGGGCTTTTATACCAAATGTTTGTGCACCTTTGCACAACAAATACAAAGAATCCATTTTGGCAACTTTAAGACTGGAGAATAATTTTTCGATAATCGTTGGTATACAGTATTCAGAAAATTCTGGTATAGCACAAAGACAAGGTGCCAATTTTTCTGCCAAATCATCACGTGTTATTTTTAATCCATCTGATCCAGACTGAAACATGCCAAGTTAAATTACAATTTGCATTCATAAACGATGAATAATTAAAATCTTGATTGGTTGATTTATTTACAGGATTGAAGTCAACTGGAAAGTAACATGCAATGACTTCAAACATTTCTTCAGTTAAATGACCTAATGGAAACTCTTTCATAAAATGTGGAAGTATGGTAAATATTAACATAAGATTTCTAGGATCTCTTTCTCCTTCAATAGTACTGATCATTCCATAAAGAAAATCTGGCCCCATGGCTTTCAAGTCTTCTATTTTGTTTTGTAATAATGTTGTAAGTATTAAATATATATTGTAACGATCAATTGCTGATTGAGATTGACATTGAACATTATCAAAAAAAACTCTAAGTAACCGTTCAGGTGAATCCTTAGGTAAATGATTCATTTGTACCTGAAATAGAAATGTTTCTTAATTTAGTTATTACATCTAAAATTATAAAATACAATGTATAACTCACAATTGCTAAAATTCCCTTTAATACTGCTGGTATTATACTGTGATGATCTTTGAGTCTATCACAATAAAATGAAGTAATAAAATGTAATTCAGCTTCATTCAAAAAATTGTTGGGTAAGTAGGACAAAACAGTGGAAAGAATATTAATGCCCTTGTCCCTTATACTGACATCTTTTTCTGTTAAAAAAGGTCCAAGTTCTTCCACAATTGCATACAATTGTGCATGTCCAGATTGTATTTCTAAATGAATAAAAACAATAACAATTATTTTTCAGATTTATATATTTTAGTGCTTTATTATACATTTAAAAATAAATTATCATTTCCTATTTTGTGTCAATGACTTAAAAATGTAACAATCATAAAAATAATTACTATAATTGTGACAATAATATATAATATATGTATATGTACATATGTTTTATTTTTTTTTATAAATACATTATAGATAAGTTTTCATTATAAGTGTTGCTTTTGCTTTATACATCAAGACCAATTATCTGCATATATAAGAAGAATGATTATGGTAATTAATACACACCTATAGCGATCTCTTGACATGTTGCATTTAGAGTTCCATTCTCTTTAATTATAGTCAGAAATCGTTCTTTAAAAATAGTGCTTGTAAGTGAAGCCATCGCAAACCATGCCTTGCTATTGTTACTTAACCTCAGAGTATCAGTAAAATAATATAATACCTCTATGTAATTTTATTAGAATTAATGTTTCTTATTATAAATTATTAGAAATAATTCACACCAAAAATACCAGAGTATGGTTACTATATTGCGTAACACATATCAGTATATGAAGCATATCTGTAAAAAAATTTGATTCTGAACTTTATTTTATGCGCTTTTTAAATTCAATTACATTTGTCAACATCTTAGGTTAGGTTACCAGAGATTCGATTATAGCGCCTCTAATGGTACCGATTCGTAATTGAATGGATAAGATGGATGAAAATGGCATGTGAGGTGTTGTTAAATTTCAGTGAAATGTTTGGTTACACCAGCCACCTAGGATGGGAGGCTGCATAGGTATAACGAGGGCAAGGAACGCCTCCGTTGACGATACTACAGGAAATTCTACGAGAGTAAATTCAGGTAAAAGTTTGATTGAAATTACGTGCGTAGAAATTTCAATCAACAACAGCTAACCTTGAAGATACTCCAGCTTTTCCCTTACCTTCGTACTTTACATTTATTGCGTTTTATGTCTCTGAATTTGCATATTATTTGTTACGTAGGAAGTTGAGTAATTAATAGTCACCATGTACATAATAACATTTCGCAGTATCAAATGTATAGTTTTGCAAAAGAAATTTTGTTTGTCATTGTTATTTTGTTTCATCAAATATTTAAATTTTAACTTTGTTACTTTATTGAAGTTTGCTGTGGAACTGAACTATTTTTTTACCATTTTCTTAATGATGTTTTTAGGACTCTTTTTAACTTTCCATTTTTGTAAAAAAAATTTATATAAATACATCATATTTTAATAGGAAATTCAAGAAAAAATCATCCGTTATGTCATGAAGTAATCAGGTGGAAATCAGATGTACCATTGACAGAGGGACAACTGAGAAGTAAAAGAGACGAATTTTGGGATACAGCTCCTGCATTTGATGGACGCAAAGAAATATGGGATGCTTTAAGGGCTGGAGCAATCGCAGCAGAAGCACAGGATTATCAGTTAGCACAGGCTATATTAGATGGAGCTAATATTTCTGTGCCAAATGGCTTCTTAACAGAATGTTATGATGAATTGGGAACTAGATATCAGGTTCCTATTTATTGCTTATCATATCCAATTAATATCGTGAAGGAGGATAGTGGAAGAGACTCTCCTGCTGATTGTTCAGGTGACTCTATGAAAGTTAATAAATGCTCAGACACTTCACAAAGATTTTATAGGTATAATAAATTCTATTAATTTATAGAACCCATTGATAGTGGCGTTGAACAGACATTAAAACTCAGATTATCAACTACATTAGGCGAAGTTAAATTGCCTGTTTATAGTAAAGATACTATTGCAGTTGCTAAGAAAAAATTACAGGTGAGCATGAAATTATTTATTCTAATGCAGTAATAGAATTTGTATGCATAATTTTTTATATAATAATTATGTTAATAGAGTCAAGAAGGTTTAGAACCATCACGTCAAAGGTGGTTCTTTGGTGGAAAGTTATTAGGTGATAAAATGCATGTAGAAGAAGCAAAGATACAACCAGGTTATGTAATACAAGTAATTGTAAATCCAGAAAAATTGGATGACAGTCCAGTGAAAACAAGTTGAACTAATGTTATACAAGATATACGTTGCATTAAACCATATTTTCTGATGAGCACATTCTTACACATACCCGAGTAAGAATACATTTTTTTTTAAATTTTATATCTTGTCATTGTTAAGAGTAGAGTAAAATGCACTGACAGCATAACTTTGATGATATTCATATATATATATATATATTTATATGTTTATGCTTTTTTCATAATATATATATATATGTATATATATTTATATATATATACACGTATATATTATTACAATAATTAGATAATATTGTGTTAAAATTGTGGGTTGTGATTATTTAATTTTTGCTAATTTATACTAGATCAAAAGAAACACATGCTGCTAATTAAAAATAAATTACTACAAAGATCTAATTGCAATCAATTTTAAGTTTAACATCTATGAAGGAAAAACAAAAATTGGCTAAAACAGGAATGTTGTTAAACTTACTTGTTACTACCAACGAAGGTGCTGGTGCTGTAACACTTGAAAAACAAAGTATACACGTAGAAAATTATTTATGCTGCTTATTAAACCATGTTGCATAATTATGTAAGAAGTAAGTCATACACTTAACAAAATTATAACAATAATAATAATAATAATAATAATAATAATAAGAGAATTACGTAAATATTGAATATAAAAACACAATGGACAATAGTGAAAAAAGGAACAAAGTATATACCGCTTGTTACGATATATTTTCATTCTTTTTTTCCAATCCATTTCATCTTCAAAGATTTTTAAATTTCTAATAATTACGGTTTTATTAAGGAGCAGTTACTAATGTCTTTTGTTATACTTCTCAATAATATATATATATATATATAGGTTTTTGACATTTTTTTTTTTGTCAGTTCTCTAAATTTTTGTGAATGTATTATGGATGTTTATAGGATGTAAGTTTGCATTGTTTGATAAAAATATGTCTTTGGTCTATTAAAGGCCTAAAGTTTACGATTCCTTCCTATAAGTACTAATAAGATATTGTATTGTAAGATCTATACAGTTGAATGATGCACAGAGGAAAAACCATAAGACTAATATTGAATTACATGTGGCGCAGAATTTATAATTTTTATACAATTTTATCAGTATGATCACTTTCACATTCGTGTTATTTGTGCTTACGATAAAATTATCAACACAGTGAAAATAAGTACTACTAATTTAATTTAATGGCACTTAATTCTTACTTCTGTCCCACATGTTGCATTAAAAGATGGTCTAAAATATAATTATACAAAATGACATATTATAAGTGTGAATTTCTTGATTATACTAACACAACAGTGATAAAATTTGTTTACATATACATTGATCATAAAATTATAATATATAATATTGCGTGTGCGTGTATGTTTAATACATAATACATAGAATATATCGGTATGAAGATGTATACGTTGGTTCCACTATTCTCAATTTGAGTGTCTAAACAAAAGTATTTAATCTTATAAAAATAACTTATTTATAAATTGGATAATTACGCGCAAATTAAAATAATACATTAATTCGGAAGCAATTGTTAAAAGTACGAAGATCAAAGTGTATGAAATTCTGTTCATATAAAAAAGAAAAAGAAACAAAATTTTTATATTATCTATTATAAATTTTTCTGATACACTACTATAAAGCAATGCAACTAAGTGTTGAACTTGTTTTGAATTCATAAATTTAAGAGTTTTATATATACCATTCTTGTATCTTTATTGTGTTCACAAACTATGGCTCCTTTACACAAAGAAACGAATGTTTTATTACAGTAATATGTAATGATGCATTAATGACATGCAATCAAATGGTATTTTGGTTTCTTTTGCCACATGATTTCTTTGGTGAAGCAGTAACGTTATTTAAAGTATTATTTTACGCGTTCTTTAAGTCCATAATACACCAATGGGAATGGTAATACCGCATTTATGGAAAAACATTCGTTACCAGAAACTAAGTAAGACATAAGATCCCTCGAATGACAAATTCTATCAGACTGATATTAATTTTGCAATATAGGATTTGGGTTATCTGCAATATACTGAAAGAGACTGCATTTTAAGTTCGTTTTGATTGATATTCAAACAGTATGGAAAGATTATTTTGTGTATAGTATAAATTAAATTGTATGTTTTTTCGTGCATGTTCATACAAAGATTTTTAATATAAATGTTGCGTTTCTCTTAAGTGATATGATTTTTATATGTATGAGTGATAAAATACATTTTTCTTTAATACTCATGTCCATGTAATATTAAACAAGAAATGTGATGCGGCGCGATTGCTATATTACAAAGTGAAAATATGACGAGTGTATATAAAAAGCGTTACAATAACGAAAGTGCAATTCAAAACGCCTATTAAATGTTGCTACTGCTTAATATTAATATTGCTATGTTGGACCAATGCATATGAGGCGTTTAAAAAAATTAAAGAATGACTGATTGGAAATAAGGTAGAACAACTGCCAATAAAATAAAGCAAAATTCACTGCGTTGCTAAACAAAAATTAGATAATATCGAAAAAAGTTTCGGAATGTTAATGAAAACATTACTAGGTAGCAATTATTGATTAAGCAGGGTTTACACATTTTTTAAACTAATTAAAGAAATAACATTACTTACCAAAGCTGGTTTTTGAAATTAGGTGCCAGTACTAACATCATTAAATATTTAATATGTGGCTAAGTTTAGGAAAGGACAAGTGATGTTAGTAGTCAGTTTATTTTGATTTATAATTTAAAATTATAATTCTATCAGGTCCAAGATATGTAACACCATTGAACTATAAAAATGCTATACATATTTGTTTATTATTATCTTAAAATAGGTATTTATTTGTTCTTTGTAAACATAAAATTATAAATACATTATCAAACTATGAAATTACTTAAACTTCTGTATTTTGATTGTAGTAATATTACTTTAAAGTAAATACATGTAAATTAATTTTTAGGAAATGATTATTATAACTTAATGCATTGTCAAATAAAGCATAATGTTGTGAAAATTCATTCTTAAACTTCACTTAACAATGTACTTTAAATACTTCAGTTCATGGCACAACCAAATCATTGCACTCAAAACTAGAAGACTTCCAGATTGATGAGCTGCAGCTAATGGTACAGGGACATGATGCACTAATGTTGTAATACCTAAGAGTACCTGGAAATAACTAGCACAGAGAACTGCCATTATAGCTTTTTTTGCATTACCAGGCAGTTTATATTTACGAGATGCAATTCCAATGTAAGTAATTAATGATAAAGTGGTTACTCCCTGTAAAAAAATAATAGATCAAATTGCCGTGGTTTTAAATTCATTTTGTATTTTTAAAACGTACCAAAATTCTATGATCAAATTGTAAAGTGGTTGGGTTTTCTGTAAAATTTTTCCACACAGGTGATATCGCAAATACGTCATCCGGTATCCATTTGTTTGCCATTTTCGGAAAAGTGTTATAAATTAGACCTGCATCCATTCCTGCTACAAAAGCTCCAGACAAGGCAGTGAAGAAAACCAATCCTTTCGTTGAATGAACTAACATTCTAAATCTGTTCAGCTTCCGTGTTACGTCGCTAATATTAACATTTAAATTACTAAGATTTAATTTTTCAGCAGGAATCAAATGATCTAAAGCATTATACAGAAACCCAGTATATATAATAAATGCCATTCCTAAATGCGCGGCTAAGCGATACTGTGAAACCCGTGGAACATCTGATGGTCCCACAAAACGATCTTCTAAACCAGATTTCACCATGTACCAACCCATAAGTCCTTGTAAACCAATTAATGTTCCCAACACGGCTACTCTAGTTTTCATTCCTGGTTTCAGCATACCTCTGTACCAGAAGTATGTCGCTGGAATTATAAATACGGCGCCTATCAAACGTCCCCACATTCTGTGCAAATATTCCATCCACCAAATTCGTTTAAATTGTTCTAATGTCATGTTCTGATTAGTGCTATAAAAGATACATATGGGCATACAATTTTATAAGAATCATAATCAGTACTATATAAATTCTTACATTTTGTATTCAGGAAATTGTTTGTAACGTTCAAACTCTGCAAGCCATTGACTTTCAGTAACAGGCATTTTTTCACCCAGTAATTTCCAAGTAACCATAGATAAGCCAGACTCTGTAAGTCTTGTTACACCTCCTAAACACATAGGAAAGAACTAACAATTGTTCATTGTTCTTTTTATATGCTTTATTTATATATTATGTTTTATAAGAATTTAGATACCTATTCAGCAATAAATTATAGAATATAAGGAACTAATGTAAATCTATTTTAGAACATTATTAAAATTTTAAGTATTACTTTCCATATGTTTTATCCACAACAATTTTTATAACAGTACGAACATAATAATAAAGTGTGGAATAAAAAACTGTACCTAAAATTACAGCTATGAAAACCATACCACCACAAGTTAACATCCATTTGCCTACAATTTTATCTGATTTTGGGCTTGATTTTGTTGCAAAATTTAAAGCTCTAATATTAGTCTGTTTAGATAAGCCCTATGAAAATATTAAATAATTTTAAATTACTTTTAAATGTAATTGTAATTCATATCATTAATATTCAATACCTTATATAAATAAATGGAGTTTCTTTTTATAAGTGTACAGGCTCCATTTATAAGCTTAGGTGTTCTAGTACATGTATACAAATTTTTCTGAATTTGTAAAATTCTTGTTGCGCTATTTTTGCTTGTGATTAAACTACTACATCTTATTAAGCTCAACATGCTAAAAAAGGGAATACGCTTTTTAGTAACATCATACTTAAATCAGATCTTCTATGTACTTACATTACAATGTTATAGTTTTAACTCAAGCAATAATTTTCATATATTTCATAAAATACAATTTAATACTTGTTCGCATAAAATTCATATGCTGCAACTACCCTTAAAATGTTATTAGGTACAAATACAGTCTTTTCTGTTAATTTATGTATTTACAATTCGTGGACTTCTCTTTTTCATAAAAGAAAAAGAAATATAATAATAACATACAAATTTCAACAATTGTAATTACTTCTAATCTTATTTCTAAACAATTTTAGAAATAATATAATTTGTTGTCATTTAAGCAGACTATAATACACATGATTCGGTTAAGGTTAGATTGGGTTCTTTGCACCTGTGGTTATGATTTGGACACAGCGCCCACTAGGTTTACAGATGTCGATAATTATTGTTTTTATCATCTGATGGTAACTATATTCTGTTTTAGATCATTTTTTTAGTGTTCATCAGATGGCACTTTTCTAACCGTTTAAATTATGGTGTACGAAAGTTCGAATTTATGTACACGAATTACACTCGCTTCTAACAAGATCTATGGTTTCAACGTACATTTATTGAGTTTTTTAGACACTTGTAAATGTTATACAATAATCAAAGTTACATGTTGATCGCTGATCAAAATGCTAAGTGTAAGAAAACATCAAAGTAAGTACGTATCAAGTCATTATCGATTATACAGATAATAACGTAATAATCTTTAATGAGATTTACACATGTACTCTAAGGAAACATCGTTAGATTCTGAAACGACTTTGCAATCACAGAGTCCTAGCCGCACGAGAGTCGAAAAGGAATTGAGCGTAGGCGTGAAGCGATTCCTTTATAGGAATACAAGAATCAACGTGGAAACTTAATTATTCGGCCTATTGCGCACGCATGCGTGTGTACGAGTGTGCTTTCGTCGAGTGTTTCATCTATCAGAAAATAACGTTGACCTCATCTCTTTCGATGGAACACAAAAAATGTTTCGACCTATTTAGGTTAAGTTAGTTTCATCGACTACATTGCGAGTCATCGATTCATAAATGCATTAATATTATTGCTCCGTTTCGCAAGATAATGTACGGAAAAAAAATTAAGGTTAAACTAGGGTAATCCATATCTTTCAAAGTCGAGTAGGTGTAGCCTTACCGACTGACAGCACTTAATCTTTGCTAAATATCATTGAAAATGCATCGTGAACCGATGGCATTAAATCGGTTAACATAAATTTTCACCTAGCACGAGTAAATTTGCCATGTAAATAGCTGATAGTGTTCCCTATTAAACGGACACGATGCAAGCTGATTTCAAGCCGGTGAGTTTCTACCATCTATTGGCTCAAATTGCTGAGATTCTCCCGTTTGTTTTCTTACAGTATAAAGCAAATTAGCGTCCGATTAGTGAGTGAGCCCCTTGAGACCCGAAAATATTCTCACGGTCCATGGAGTATCGGAGAACCGGTGAGAAAGTAAAGAAAAGGAACGTTAGAGGTATATGACACGGATTTCATATTTTATTTTGTCAAACATTGTCAACGAACGAGTTTCGTTCATCGTAACTCTGCGCATGCGTTACGCGCATGCGCGATATAATGAAAACAATGAAGATTAACAGCATGCGCGCATTTTTAAATTTTCAAATTCTAGTCTGCTTCACGGAAACTTGACTATTATTGCGCAATAATACGCAGAGAATATAGCATACATGGTACGTGAATATAATATATGCGGTGCCGATGTTACGCAACTATATAATCCTAGATTACAGCAATTACATTTTTGCCCGAAGTGCATTTCCATCCGAATCATATATGGAGGCGCTACCCTATCGGATAGCCATCGGCGCGAGCAATCTGGCATGCGCGGCCGTTCTCGTGAATGGGCACGGCTCGTGGACCAAGCGGCGGCCGTATGAATGAAATAGTAAATATAATTGACAGAAGGGCAGGCGTGGGCAGGCCAGTCAGAACAGGCAAGCAGAAACAGGCGGAACGAGGTGCAAGACGGGAACGACGTTTTATACGCGGCAGGCGTAGGATCGAGGTCATCACCTTTCTATCATCCGAAGAGTCTAGATAGCACTTTTTTTTTCTTCTTTTTTTTTCCTATCTCACGCGTTTCGACACGTCTTCGGTATCCTTGATATTCTTTATTCGGTTATTATCGCTATGCTGGATAGAATTTTTAATTCTTTTACTTCCCTTGTTTTTTAGGAAATATTACCACGACACTTTCCTAAGAAGTGACGAAGAGAACTTTGTATCGACTGGATTAATTTTCTCATGCCCCAAACTATTCAAAATATGGATGATAACGTTTACGGAGCCTTGAATTGCTCGTTTATCCAAGAGACGAAGATTTAAGCGATGACCAACGAATTGTTGAGCCGTGAAATTTCGGTCCCCTCTTGGTTACTTCGTTTCATGGACTCGTCATAAAAGCTTGGCCCGTTAAGCTGACGGTGTCGTAATCGTACGGTAGCCAAATTAATCGTTGTTACGGAAACGGAAGAACCCTGACGATTTCTACATCCATTAAGGTCTTTGTACACGAGCGGCAAGCAGGAATCCCTATAGGTCCCGCCAGGTTAAAGCGTTACGCGACGATGAGGACAGATCCGCCCTCGGCCACGGGTACTGGCTGTGGAGAACGTTGAAGGAGAGCTGCGCCAGTTCTTGGCCGGTCGGTCTGCCTTTTCTCTTTTCTCTTCTCCCTCCGTTTCCCTGCCCCGTCGAGTCGTCGAGTGACGACCAAAGACGGTAGGAAGGTACGGTTTCCGGTCGCCCACGCGACAACCTAGTCGGAGCTCTCTCGCGTCAGGCAGCGGCGTTGTGAAAATCCTCTCGATTCAGGTGTCCGGATAGCGCTCACGAAGTGGTAAACCTGGCGCAACACTCTGACGCCGTAGTGGGGAGTGTACCATGATCGAGCCAAGATGGAGAACAATTCGTAGTTTTCTATTTCTATCGATACATTCGTTTACGTTTTCCAGCACCCCATGTCCGACGAACCCTTTCGACGCCACATAACGAATTAGCCATCCACGATGAAATTTCTCGGTGTAGTATCAAGATAATCAATAAGTTTCAGCGATTGATTTGCAACTATCGCATAATGGAAGCGACAAATTTATTTTCTCGTCTCTCAGTTCTAACCATTGGTCACGACACCCTATATGCGTCATCGAAACTCATTTCTTTGGACAATTAGCTTTCTTTTCGATCGCTTTCCAGTTCGATTGCTCAACAGCTAATAATTACATTCGAACTCGCAACGTTACTCGTTGCAAGGTATCGGGAGAGCAGCCCGCTAGGGGTTGATTCGAGCCATTGTCGGTCGAACGATGTTTGGCCGTTGTCGAGCACGGCGGGACGCACGATTAATGATACGTTTCATACTCGTTTTCGTTCATTGTCGATGTTAATCGATTACTGGTCCCGCGAGAGCACGAGTTCCAACGCCATTAGTTAAGATTGGAATAAATTTCGGGTGAAAGTGGTCTAGGGCCTAAGGGTCGATCGATCCTCCCAGTGATAAATTTACCTGTCAATTAACTTCGTTTCACCTTTCAGTTGTTCGAGATAATAGTCCGACGCTCGCTGGTGTAGGACCGTAGTTAAAATTGTGTGCAATGGACCGTTTGTAAACAAATCGATGGATCTTAAAAATCAGCTCGTTGCACGAGATAGGAAGAACACAGATTAGTTTCGTGGATATTTCGAGGAACTTTGGCATTTTGCGCTCGTGTCAAATATCGTGCGAGAAGTTGAAAGTATCGTCGCTTAATTAACGGACTTTCTGCAAAGCGAAAACCAGTCAGAAGAAGAGGCGTACTTGGAAACGTGTACGGTATCAATTGAACTGTGAAAATTTTTGCAACAAATATCGGGACAGGTGAGACAATTGGTCAATAAGGGACGGGTAAAAGACAACCTAGTCGGAGCTCTCTCGCGTCAGGCAGCGGCGTTGTGAAAATCCTCTCGATTCAGGTGTCCGGATAGCGCTCACGAAGTGGTAAACCTGGCGCAACACTCTGACGCCGTAGTGGGGAGTGTACCATGATCGAGCCAAGATGGAGAACAATTCGTAGTTTTCTATTTCTATCGATACATTCGTTTACGTTTTCCAGCACCCCATGTCCGACGAACCCTTTCGACGCCACATAACGAATTAGCCATCCACGATGAAATTTCTCGGTGTAGTATCAAGATAATCAATAAGTTTCAGCGATTGATTTGCAACTATCGCATAATGGAAGCGACAAATTTATTTTCTCGTCTCTCAGTTCTAACCATTGGTCACGACACCCTATATGCGTCATCGAAACTCATTTCTTTGGACAATTAGCTTTCTTTTCGATCGCTTTCCAGTTCGATTGCTCAACAGCTAATAATTACATTCGAACTCGCAACGTTACTCGTTGCAAGGTATCGGGAGAGCAGCCCGCTAGGGGTTGATTCGAGCCATTGTCGGTCGAACGATGTTTGGCCGTTGTCGAGCACGGCGGGACGCACGATTAATGATACGTTTCATACTCGTTTTCGTTCATTGTCGATGTTAATCGATTACTGGTCCCGCGAGAGCACGAGTTCCAACGCCATTAGTTAAGATTGGAATAAATTTCGGGTGAAAGTGGTCTAGGGCCTAAGGGTCGATCGATCCTCCCAGTGATAAATTTACCTGTCAATTAACTTCGTTTCACCTTTCAGTTGTTCGAGATAATAGTCCGACGCTCGCTGGTGTAGGACCGTAGTTAAAATTGTGTGCAATGGACCGTTTGTAAACAAATCGATGGATCTTAAAAATCAGCTCGTTGCACGAGATAGGAAGAACACAGATTAGTTTCGTGGATATTTCGAGGAACTTTGGCATTTTGCGCTCGTGTCAAATATCGTGCGAGAAGTTGAAAGTATCGTCGCTTAATTAACGGACTTTCTGCAAAGCGAAAACCAGTCAGAAGAAGAGGCGTACTTGGAAACGTGTACGGTATCAATTGAACTGTGAAAATTTTTGCAACAAATATCGGGACAGGTGAGACAATTGGTCAATAAGGGACGGGTAAAAATAGGACATTATATCATTGTAGGTGAAACTATTATATGATCGTGTTTCAGGAATCTATTCAACTGGCCGCCATTCATTTCGTCTTAAGAACGTTATCGAAGGATTGTCATAACCCGTGAAAGTAAGTGTCGTTTCGCAATACTTTCATGTTATCAAACCGTATTAGGTCTTCTCAGGATTCAAGATCGGTCATTTGATATGCAATACGCTAATAGTTCCGAGAATCCTGTACACGGTTTTAAGAATTTCTTCTTCTTCCTGGACTTGCCGTGACGTCGCGACGTATATGCCTTTCTTCTCTTTTGTTTTTCTCGTTTTCTATTATCTTCTCCTTCTCTCGGTACTCTATTCCTCTCTCGTTGGATGCTGTTCCTCTCAGAAAGTCCCTTCGAAGAGGTAGGGCACGCGAATGTGGGAGGGAGAGTTTCCGGTCGCCCACGCGACTCTGCAACAACCACTTCGCCGAGGTATCAGGGACAAAACACGGGCCGGCGGATGTCTCTTCTCTTCTGGGCAAATGAAGAAGTCGCCTCACATTCGGCAAATATAATGAAAGCTCCCTGTTTCGTTTTCGCATCCGTTCCATGACCTGCCGACAGAAATTCCTCTCGTTCCATTTCTTTTCCAGCGGCGCCTATTACCGAATTTTGCAAAAACTGAACTTATTTCGCATCAGGTTCGATCACCTGAATTCGACACAGTTAATAACACGAAGGAAATAGTAATTGCACGGAACTTCTCTGACGTAGGTGATGAAATTAGAAGATGGACGATGAAGGCATCCGCGTTTGCAATATGCTTCGAACGAATAGGAATTAGAAAGCTCATGGAAGGAGGCAAAGGAGGCAAGTCCTACGAAGGGTACATAGCCGCGTTGCCACCGTGAAGCAATAGAAAGGTAGCGGCGATTACGAGGCTTAAAAATAGCAATGACGACTGATCCGTCCACGCGCGCAGTCCTATCGCTTCGTATCGGTTTGGACACGCTCGGATGTCGTAGGTTTTGCTAGAGTAGAGGCAGGTCAAGGCGTTGCGGGGCTTAGCTCTGCGCGATCGTAAAGCACCCCTCGCGAATCCTCGCACAAACTCATTCGACTCGTGGCACGGCGGCTTGTCTTCTCTTTGTTGGTGCCTTGTAACCGTGGCGTGTAGTCAAATTGAGCGATCACGCTCGCGTAATCGCGCTCTTTCCTTTTCTTCTTCTTCCTCTCCTTCCATTTCTTCTTTTTCTCGTCTCGACGATTTGACCGCAGATAGCGAGGAATTAACATGGAAATTAAAACGACTACGCTTCGACTAACGACGACGCTCGTTTGGACGATCATTCGTTAAGGAATATGTATGGTTCACGATATCGGAAGATAATCGGAACCTTTATTTCCGCTAACGTTGTAGTTAATTTCATGAAGAATCGGAGGATGATTCGTCAGAATATTAGAACGGTAGAGAAAGTATTAAACGTTCTCGCGTTTATGTATTTTTCTTGTTTCAGGCTGCAGAGCGGGAAATTGTTTGGCCGCGGCCGATTCCAACGGTACATTGGAACCACTCGACAGAGAAAAAGAGAACGAGAGAGAACAGACTCTTCTGGCCAGCTCCGCGTACGCACCACCCACCACGAAGTACTCGAGGAACGAGGATTATTCGTCCTTCGAGAGGAGAATTCGGTGCTAAAGCCATCTTCTTCGTCGCCTCCCTGTTTTCGTTTTCTTCCTTCGTCTCTCTTTTTTTCGTTCACCGTTTGGTCGGAACCATCTAGCGGAAAAAGAAAGCGACCCAGAGATTCTTAGGGGCGTCGAGGCGACCGTGCGAAATCGACTTCACCGCGAAGATCACGGTAATATTGAATAATAATACGATATAATTTAATAACCGTGCCGCTGGATGATGCTTAATGACGATAATGCTCGAGTACGACGGCCACCTAAGATCAGCAGGGAGGCAGAAAAGTTTGCAGGTTGTTCCGCTTAATCGCGTGTTTATATACGCTATAGATAAATATATCCTTTCTCTTGCACGTTGTAAGCTCAATTAACGAAATGTACGCTGTTCATTTCGTGAACAACGATCATCGATTAAAGTGTTCGTTTACATTGGCCTTCGCGACGAACCTTGGAACAAAGGTACGAACAAAAGGGACCACCGAACGGCGAGCTTGTAGGTAATCTATAGATTAATCGTGGCCTTGACGGGGCATAAAGTTTAACTCGATATCAAACTTGCAGGCTGCACGCTGTTCCGCGACTGTGAAGATAGACAATGGATCAGAGAGGCTGGTTATCCAATGCGGTCATATTAAGTAACCGCGAGGCTGGTTCATAATCGCGATCGTATCTGACCGTAAGATGTCCCAACTTATAGGCAGCGTATCTCGAGAATTTATGTCACGGGTTGCACGCCAATAGTTGGTCGCTAAACCGGACGAAAGACGACCGAATCGTTAATCGACGATGATTGCACGGAAAGTCGTAGGGAAGGAAAGGATTCCGTTGCGAATAACAGGAATGTAGGACGGTAGGAGCCGTCGGTGAGGTTTCAAGGGCAAAAAGATTTATTGGAAATGGTGCATTTAATTGCTTTTAAACGATACTCATCTCCGCGACCGTAATCAACGTTGCGTCACGGTTGCAGGTAATCGGCGTGGACTTTACGATTACCTATACGATCGCGAGGGTACTCGAAGAGCACGCAAAACCAGAGAAACCACCGATGTTCGGATAAAAGTACGAGGAGCAGGCTGCTCGATCGTGTCCCAGAGATCGCTCCCCGATGGATTTATATTGGCAGTCGATTAAATTTCTTCGAGCAATTTACATCGGCTGATTTATCCATCGAATCGAATCGGTCGTAAATAAGTGTAGCGTGCGGTGCGTGGTGCGCGTCGAGTATCACCGTTTACGACTGAATCGACAGAAAAAGACAGAAGCGAGGAAGGTTGAGAGAAAGAAAGGAGAAAACGGAGGAATCTGGGAAGCGGAGGTCCCGAAGAGTCGTAATTTCGCAGCGAATCGCGAGGGTGAGGACGCTGCCTCGAAACGGCGAGGAACAGTGGACAAACCGAGCGACGCGTCGCTGGACTTCGACCGCGCGACGCCACCGGAGAAGGAGAAAAGACGGGAGGAACAGGGACGTGCCGGAGGAAAAAATATAAAAAAGAAAAACGACCGGGTAAATAAAGATCGACCCGTCTCCCACGCCCGTGACCATTGTTATTATATATCCCGTGGGGTATTGTTCCCATGGGAAAACTGGACAGGCCCGTTCTACCACCTATAAGACACCGGCCAGCGAGAGAATATGCACGCACACACGCTTTTACTCGAGCCACGCCAGACTTCAGGTAACACACTCTTCTCTCTCTCGTCTCGGAGACGCGTGTGCTGCTCGCACGCGCGCAACCGAGCAAACGTGTAGCACACGCACGGGACAGGCCGCACACTCGAGCGCAGATTTCAGATATTGTGGGGGGCGTTCACCTCGCATCTCGGTCCTCGTGGTTCTCTCGTGTGAGAGTACACACGAACGGTCAGCGCGTACGCTCCTATCTATGTATTTCGTCTCCTCTACGTTTCCGTGCAAGGCGTTGCAACGAGTATCCTCGCGTGCCTGTGTACGTTGCACGGTGTATATGGTTGGTCTTACGCCGTTGGAACGCACACACGCGACAGAGCCATGTTCGTACAGGCAACGGAGGTACTTCGGTGGATGCTTGAGGAACAGGGTGCGGCTCAACCCACCTCGCTTGACTTACCTACCCGTATTACCGTCTAGGTAGGTATATCCAGGCGCGAGCCACGCAGGATACTATGCCATATTTGCATCCGTGATCCAGGACACGTGTGTATCCACGGGAGCGCGTGTGCGTTCTTTTTTTCTTCTTTCTCTTTCTTTCTCTTACCCTCTCGTATCGTTTCCCTTCGTCTACGTGGACCATTGCCTTCGCCGTGATGCACCACCGCTCGTGATTCTCTCCGTGTCTCTTTTACTCTTTCCTCCTTTTCTTCTTTTCCTTAATTTTTATCTTTTTCATTTCGCTTTTGTCTCTCTTACGCGTACGAAAGTATTCTCTCCTCCTTCGTCCTACTACGGAAGATTATAAATTTGCATGATCGTGGACGTACAAAGATGCACCAAGTTCAACATTCGTTCCTATAAAACAGGACTTTCGAGGTAATGTCGATAAACGAATATTTAGTTCTTATTCTCTTTTCTAACTTTCTTTCTGTTTACAGCGTAAATACCGTAACTGCGTAGAAAAGAAAATCGTGTCTGGTTACGCAAAAATTTGCGATGGACTCGATTGGAGAGGCGAGGCGGCTGGTCGAATGTCACGGACGCGTCGATAATCAATAACGATGGGGACAGCGGGACAAAAGACGGGAGGAACAGGGACGTGCCGGAGGAAAAAATATAAAAAAGAAAAACGACCGGGTAAATAAAGATCGACCCGTCTCCCACGCCCGTGACCATTGTTATTATATATCCCGTGGGGTATTGTTCCCATGGGAAAACTGGACAGGCCCGTTCTACCACCTATAAGACACCGGCCAGCGAGAGAATATGCACGCACACACGCTTTTACTCGAGCCACGCCAGACTTCAGGTAACACACTCTTCTCTCTCTCGTCTCGGAGACGCGTGTGCTGCTCGCACGCGCGCAACCGAGCAAACGTGTAGCACACGCACGGGACAGGCCGCACACTCGAGCGCAGATTTCAGATATTGTGGGGGGCGTTCACCTCGCATCTCGGTCCTCGTGGTTCTCTCGTGTGAGAGTACACACGAACGGTCAGCGCGTACGCTCCTATCTATGTATTTCGTCTCCTCTACGTTTCCGTGCAAGGCGTTGCAACGAGTATCCTCGCGTGCCTGTGTACGTTGCACGGTGTATATGGTTGGTCTTACGCCGTTGGAACGCACACACGCGACAGAGCCATGTTCGTACAGGCAACGGAGGTACTTCGGTGGATGCTTGAGGAACAGGGTGCGGCTCAACCCACCTCGCTTGACTTACCTACCCGTATTACCGTCTAGGTAGGTATATCCAGGCGCGAGCCACGCAGGATACTATGCCATATTTGCATCCGTGATCCAGGACACGTGTGTATCCACGGGAGCGCGTGTGCGTTCTTTTTTTCTTCTTTCTCTTTCTTTCTCTTACCCTCTCGTATCGTTTCCCTTCGTCTACGTGGACCATTGCCTTCGCCGTGATGCACCACCGCTCGTGATTCTCTCCGTGTCTCTTTTACTCTTTCCTCCTTTTCTTCTTTTCCTTAATTTTTATCTTTTTCATTTCGCTTTTGTCTCTCTTACGCGTACGAAAGTATTCTCTCCTCCTTCGTCCTACTACGGAAGATTATAAATTTGCATGATCGTGGACGTACAAAGATGCACCAAGTTCAACATTCGTTCCTATAAAACAGGACTTTCGAGGTAATGTCGATAAACGAATATTTAGTTCTTATTCTCTTTTCTAACTTTCTTTCTGTTTACAGCGTAAATACCGTAACTGCGTAGAAAAGAAAATCGTGTCTGGTTACGCAAAAATTTGCGATGGACTCGATTGGAGAGGCGAGGCGGCTGGTCGAATGTCACGGACGCGTCGATAATCAATAACGATGGGGACAGCGGGACGGCTAGTTTGGCGAACGAGCTGAATGTGCAAAAGAAAGGAAAGAAAGAAAGAAAAGCGTGTCGATGAGGAGACCGGAGAGACGGAGGAGCAGTGATTAACACCGTAGTCGATCCTGGAACGGCTGGACGAAGATCGATGAGGATCAGAAAGGTGGCCAGAGTAGTGTATCACGGTAGCCGGCTCGTTATTCGAATTCCTGGGATTTCTCGGCGTCGTCTGGAGTGGTCGGCACGCAAAGTCGCGGTCTTCTCTTCTTTCTAGCCGGACTTACCGAACCGGATGGCGCGATCACCGGGGTCCAGGGCCGAGTAATTAATTGATATAATAATCGTGACGGCCGGGTCTTAATTTCATCGAGACGCACGCGTCCGTGCCTCGCCGCTATCGTTCCTCCCTTGCTCTCTTTCTCGTTTCGCATCGGCAACTCGACGGCGACGTTCGAGACGTTGAAGACGACGAATCATCGACGTTCGCCAGGACACTCTTGCCAATAAGTCTCCGTTCAAGGTTGCCATCGTTCGACTACCATAATCCGCCTCGTAGATTATTATCGGCGAAAGAAGAAACTTGCGACATACACCGGTCACGCTTGTTCTTCCCTCTTTCGTATCGCGTGGCCTCTCTCCGTTTCACTCTCCTCCTACTCTTATGCTCGTTTTTTCACCTCGGTCGAAGCACGGAATAATAAACCGTGCGTCGTGATCATTAACAAGAGGCTAGAGCTTATGGGCAGCATCGTCGAGGTATATCTGTGTTTGATTTGCGTTTGCCGGGAGAACGTATAATTCCTTATCTTAATTGAGCCGATTAGCATACTGTTAGGGACCAGAGAGGATCGCTTTAGACGCTCGTTGCACGCAATTTCGACGTGCTTGTACGAAAGCATCGCGTGCGTACAGGACCGAAACACAGGCGTCGCGCGGCTACTGGAATTTCGTTTCTCGAGGCAGCTTCGTCGTCCGCTCGATTAATCAAACGGGACGTTTCGAGTCCGAGGAGTATCCATTAGAAATTGATTCCCATTTTGGACGCCAGTGAATTAATTAGTCGTTGTCCCATATAACTCTGTCGCTTCGTGGTTTCAAAATATCGATAGACGACACGACTATATCGTTTAACTCCATCGAGCTCCATCTCTTCTTTTTCATTTTAATGACGGTGCATTGAAGAAAGTATTTAATTTTCTTCTTCTTCGAAAATTTTCTTAAATTTAGAAACGGCTACGATATTTTCGAAGTCGCCGATATTACAGAATCGGCGAAGTGCAAAGAATTAATTCGTTCATGGTTTCGCTCGCAGTGTTTGTCTTTCTCCGAAGGATTGACGATGTCTCTGTCTAGTCAACGGGAGTCGAAGACTTTCACCACAGCGCTCGGTTGGTTCGTTCATTCATAAATTGATTATTAAAGGCTTGCCGGGGCCCGTTCGAACGCGAAAGACACGCGCGTACACGGTGGCACGAGCTACGATCGATCCCTCTCGCTTTTTCACCGCGTTGCCGGTTCACGGTTGCGGCCCGCGCACGTTCCAAGATAAAATAATCAAAGCGACCGCAAGGAATCGCGAGCCTTTACAACAAAAAAAGCTTCCGCGATCGGCAGCCGGCTATTAATTTGTTCGCTGCAACGAGTACTTAGCCGCGCGAACAAGAAGCATTCATCCTCTGCTTTTTCATCCGACGTTCCGTTCACGTATTTTCAGGTTTCTTCAGCGAGAACAGCGCGGTTGCGTGTCACTGGTATTAGCGCCGTCAATGGAACAAGCTTTTTGGAATAAGAGTTGACGTAATCGATGCACGGTTAACGATAGTCGATCGAGAAAGCGAGGTCATCGAGATAGCGCGATGTTCTCTCTAAGATTAATCTCCTGTATCCAAACAGATATCTCTCGACTCCAATTAGTACTATGTCACCGCTTATCGGTCGCAACGTTGCTTTCAGCGCTGGTCCCGTCGCAGTGCGTTACCACGGCCGAAAAACTACCACGTCCGGTCTCCAATTTCGATCGACTTTATCCCCGGCAGTCGATCTCGCATATTTATGCCCAGCGATCTGTCCAAGCGATCCAGGATCCTCGAGGCAGCTTATCACGAACCGACGAAACTCCCAGCAAAGGTGCGCTCGCAGAGGACGCGAAAGGTAGAGAGAAGGAATACGCGAGTAAATCCAACGGAGGCGTATAAAGACGCGACGAAATACGAGCGGGAAGACTCGGTGCCGATACCTCGTCGAAGCAGAAGGGATGTGGTAACGGAGAAGGTGAACCAGCAAGAAGAAGAAGAATAAGAAGGTATCCAGCAAAGAAGGAAAAGAAGAAAGAGGAAAAGGAAGACAGCAGGGGAGAGATCTACTGCAAGGGCGCGGCGAGGGTCCAAGATGGAAAAGAAGGAAGAAAAGAGGTGTGGCACGAACCTCTCTCCAGCATTGTCCGCCTGTACAGCTCGCGCACGCCGAGACTGGTCCACGCACCATCCGAATCTATCTACATACGGCATACCATACGCGCTCACGCATAGGAAAAGAAGTCTCCTCGGGGCTGTGTAGCACTGTTCGTGTGCGAGTGCTCTCTCTTTCTCTCTCCCTCTCTTCCTGCTCGCGTGCGTCTCTGTCCTCCGCGTGTTATTATACAGCCACCAGTTGCGCGTGTTGGAGCCGTACGTGTAAGAGAGGACGCGTGTGATAGTACGCGGTTAACTCGACGACCGCAACACAGCCGCGCGAGACAGACCCGACCGGTATTCAAAGTCAGAACGACCTGGCGGGGCAAGAGGGCGAAGAAACGGGCAGAAGGGAGGAGGAGAGAGAACTGGTGGAGAGGGAGCAGGCACGAGCCTAACTGCAACCAGCGTCCCACGCGCTTGGACCAACATTTAGTAGGCTCCGTCTCTTGCCTTCTCTCTTCCTTTTACCGATTCTTTGCTCCGATCGACGTCGTTTCCTCTCTTTCTCTCTCTCTCTTTGATGCTCGATTCGTCGTGTACTCGTGTACACGACCAGACATACGTACACGATCGACCATTAGACGCGAGTACGCTGCTTAAGATCGTCTCTTTCTCTGCGTCCCGACGCGCCTCGATCTTCGTTCTTCCTTCCCGCGTTATATTCGTCTTCCTTTTCGTTGAATCTGTGCTTCGCGGGAGAACGATTCCTTTTGGTCGTAAAAAGCGACGGCTAAGCCGGTAAGAAAGTCGAAAATTCGTGTCGAGATTACGCGTTTCGGACCGTTAAGCGACCCTTCGAGCACGTGGACACTCGTCCAGCACGCGGCGGTACCCCGCATCGATATGAAATCAGATACGCGTTGGCTATTAACTAAGCAGGATCGATGTCTCTTGAGGTTGGATCGCTTTACTCGCTGCTCATCGTTACGATTACCCTTTCCCGTGGCGATTCGAGTTTTCATCTATCGAATTAGAGTTTAGCCTCGAATAGCGATTGCATAGTTCGGTAACGCTGATGCAATTAGTTGGGGCAGATTGGTGGATCCCTTCGGTCATCGTCGCTTAGCGCGTTCGATCGAATTAGAGCCGCGTTCGAAGCGTCCCGATGACCCTGGCTAATTGTTCCGGAGAGGTCGAGACAAGAAAGTCGAAACGCTCGAGACGACACTAGTTGTTCGCGCGTACATCGTCTCGTCGTGGCTCTCTCTCGCCATTTGTTCAGCTAGCTGGTCGTACGAGGATGTCCGCTATATAACGTCGAGAAAATTAATGGTCG